TCCTCCTCTTGTCTTTGTTAGAGCCCAAAATCGCTCAGCAGCCTAGCTCTAAGATGGAAAGCGCGCCCCAGTCAATCGATACGCGCGGAAACGGCATCTCTCAGTCCTATGACTGCGTTCCTTTGATATTTTTTCATTCCTTCATCATTTTCCTTGCTTATTCTTCTTCCTGTTTTCTATCTTATACAGGTGAGGAGTAATTAGAGGAATTTGAGCATTTTGGGCGCTTTTGAGCGCTTTTAGGCGAATGTGGCCGGTGCTCTCGTTCCACAAGCACAAAGCGTCATTTTTGGGCTCAAGAGGGTATTCGTAAAAACTGTTGGGGTTAAAGGGGAATTTGTTTTGGAAAACCCCGTCTGCCCATCTCGTGCCGGGCCCTGATCAGGGTTTAGGACCCTTGCAGTTTTTTCCTTTGTTTGTGTGTGCAGTTTGAAAGTTCTAATAAAGCCGTTCTTTAGTTCAAGAGTAACGACAAAAGTGGTGAAGACATCGAAAAGAAAGCTTGGAATCAAGATTTCGAAGTTTTCGAAAGCACCTTTCTATAGTTTGGAGAGCGCTTGTTTTAAATTAAACTAGAGCTTGACAGATTTAAGTTGAAGAAGGCATGTTTAGGCTAAAAATGCGATTCGTTAAAGTTTAGGCATCCATCGCATTGCGGCACTTTCGTAGCGACAGCGCCCTTATACCTTAGGATTTCAAAGCGGTAGTGATGGTACTGTATGCTCTTCCCATTTCAATTCTACTTCTATGTTTCCAAATAATGATTTTCTCCATAACATTGGTTTGAGACGTCGTCTTACCATTGTACCGATGTTATGCTAATTTTGTGACGACCGAAACCACGTTTCTAGGCGTTTTCATTACCTTTTTACATAAGTTTTGAAATCATTAGTAGGCAAGAAGTTTAGCCTATCTTAACTGCCTCTGCTAATTCGATCACCTTTCCAGAACAACCTCAATTTAGTGTTGGAGGCTTCCTACGAAGACGCTTTTAAACAACCACAACAACGTTGAATTTATCAGTTACTGGTAAGAACATTGTTTAAAGAGCGAGATTCAGCTTTGCGTACCATGTTTAAATCAGTGGCTCGGCAAATCGCAACCTAGTCAAATTTTTGCTTACCTGGGGTTATTCAATACGTTGATCCCGAAAATCCACTTCTGAAAGCTTGAAAACGACGAAAATGAGCATTTTTCAATGCCCTTCCCTTCAGAATTGGACGAGTGGAGCAAGGCTGATGACGCCAAATCGTTGCAGGACCTAATGGTTATAGCATTGCGGCGGGCAGTCTCCACTGGTGAGAATGAAATTGCCAAAGCGTCCGGATGCGTGTAAGATTGCCTGCGCGTGTAAGTTTGAGAGCAATTTTCTCGACAGGGAAAGCATGCTGCGCAACCGAGGTTGCCTGTTTTCTTACTTGGGCGATAAGCAACCTATCGCGTTAAAATCCTGAGTTGTTGGATTTTGCCGATCCACTGTCTTTAACTTAATCGTCTATGCTAATAAGGGTAGTTATGAGGAGGAGTATTGCTAAACTAGGACAAAATTATTAAGATACTAGATCTTGAAAAGAACAACAGTCAGCTAACAAAATCTGCTAATACTTGACTCTCAATGATCATTTGGGCCAGGGGAAGGAAGGATGCTCTTCCCTGCTCTTTTTCAACAATTTCCTTCTCAAAGACCTTGTACATTACTTTTTCCTTATCTTTTTCCTATTGAGTTGTCTCATTAGTTCTTTTTTTCAGTTTTGAACTTTTCTCACAACAAATCCACATTTCTCAATTCTAATCAGGATGCCAGGAACTGTTTGATAGAGAAGAGCAAGCTTTGTAAGATGGCGTGTAAGTGTTCGCACTATCTTGAGCACCTGATGAGATAGAAGCCGAAATCGTAGAAATTTCGGATGCCAGAAAATTGCTTATATCCCCATTCAAAAAAACCTACTAGACCCCAAACGTGCTCACACACACATATACTCCACGTGAAACATTCATTGTCGTGCTGTGTTTGTTTCTGTGCAGGAAACGAAAAATAAAATTTTCAGTCTTTCAAAAAAGCGACGCTGCGCTGTCCTTACATAGGTAAATGCATACTACAGGCCTTACAAATATTGGGTTAGAGCGAAAGTTCGTTCGCACCATTTTCAAAAATACATAACTTCTGATTTTTTCAACCGATTTGACTGCTTTCATTTTTATCTGAAAGAGCAAGTCATTCTCTTCATAGAGTTATCTTAGCGGTGTTCTAAAGAGCATACACTGCATAGATATAAGCGGTAGAAGAAAATTACTCAAATTTTCGATCTTCTGTGTTGGGACATAAAAAATCTGAAAGCTGCAGGAAAAATCGGAGCATTCGGTATTGTAGGCTCTTTCACCAGCTCTTTCTAACAGTGCAAGGTTTGCGCTGATTGAGCGTCCCTATAAAAAGTTATGATTTCCCTGAAAAATGCCAAAATAAATCAAATTCGCTTTTTTGTATTGCTTGCTCGAAAATCGTAACTTTTCGTAGAGACGCTCAATCAGCATAAATTTTGCACTGTTAGAAAGAGCTGTAAAGAAACCTATAATAACGACTGCTCCGATTTTTATTGCAAATTTCAGATATTTCATGACCCGACACAGAAAATTCAAATTTTGACCAATTTTCTTCTATCGCTCCTATCTATGCAAGAGATGACCACTAGTAAGCAGCTGAGACGTGGTTGTAAAGAACATGACCTACTCTTTCATACAAAAATATAATAAAAACAGTCAAATCGGTTAGAAAAGTCAGAAGTATGAATTTTTAAATCATGCGCAAGAACTTTCGGGACGACCTAATATATCGGCAAATCTTCATCTTCCTGGAAGCGCTAGCTTTTGAGAAATACCGAAATTAGCCTTTTTTGCTAGGGCATGTTATGTTGAAAGGCATATTTCTCGGAAATCAAAGCTTATAGAAAGCTGGAAATTAGTTATTTTACTTCTAAAGACTTACGATGAACATTTACCTTTGTGAGAACAGCGCAGCGTCTCTTCTTTGGAAACTTGAAAACTTACTGTCTCTTTTTTAACACAGAAAGCGCAACAACGGCGCCTATGAATGTCTTTTGTGTAGTACATGTGCTTGAGCGAGTTTGGGATTTGGTAAGTTTTCAGTGAGCAAAGATATCAAAAAAAAATTTCAACTTTCCTGGCGTCCGAAAATTCTCAGATCCGGCTTTTATGATTTGCTGAAGATGGTGCGAACTTTTATAGGCCATCTCATAGAGCTTGCTTTGCTCTATTCAACGTATCCTGCAGTCTAAAGCACCCGCCATACTTAATTTTCTTGATTACTTGATCCGCTTAATCCGCTTCGTGCAAAACGCGCGCACACAGCAGTTTGTTATTTGGCGCCGCATAGGTAAAAGGAGTTTTACATAGTTACGCAAATTCGCCGTACGTAACGCCAAATAACAAATTAGTGACGCGCGTTTTGCACGAAGCGGATCAAGTGGATCAAGAAGATTAAGTATGGCGGGTGCCTAATTAGAATTGAGAAGTGTGTGACTTATTACGGTAAGAAATCTAAATTTGAAGAACTTAGGAGACAACCTAATTTATAGCTTATAGTTTCATTGAAACAGGCAAATTAACAGTTTTGAAGCGCAAAGATTTCCTCTGTTTCACTAACTTCGGCTGGCGAAGGAATTTGCTAGTCGTTGGTTGGAAACTTATTTCTGTAATGCTAAACGAGATGAAGTGTGAAAACTTGGCGAGCTTTTTAATTTCAACTTGCATATTCTTTTTGCGCGATTCATATCCATACTTTAAGCACATACCAAGCTAGTGTATACGGGTAAACTTGCATTCAAATGACAATTTCTTGAGAAAACATGCATATTGTTTTGCCAATTTCTTTATCTTACCCTCAAGCTTGTCAACATCAACAATATTGCATCTCACAAAAATAAGGGAAGAATAATCTTGTTAGAACTATCCAATCTATCCAATCATACCTAAGCATACATGTATGGCTGAGAGCATATAGGCAAACTCAAGACAGTATAGTGTCATTTATTAGAATGGCAAATCGCATACTTGTAATTTGATGAAAAACCAAGAAAGGCAAGATGACAAAAGTCCAACATTAGCAAATAAAAACAAGGATGGCTTACATTCAACAAATATGGAAAATGATATCGCAGATCGTGCAACCCTTATAGAGACATAAGAGACAAAAGCAAAATTAGCACGTAAGACGAGATTTGTTGAAACAATAAAATTAAAGAAGAAAATCATCTGAAAAGATCTGAGGTTGCGTCCGAAGTGGAATTTCTTTGCTCTGTTAGCAAATGGCCGAAACTTCTACTCAACGCGAGGAGGAATGCAGTGAGTAAAACGATTCCGCAGAAGAGTTTACTCAGGTTTACTAACGTGTTGTTGTTATAGAAATCTTTCTGAGGTTTCGAAGCATCCGAGTCCAAAGTGGAGCCGAAAGCTAATTTTCTTGTTACTGATTGTTGATAAACGGGCATCTGGAAAATTTCTGAGATGAAATCATGAAGTTATGCAGATTTTGGAGCAGAGAAGCTTCATGAGAGGAAGTTCTTTCACATTGCGCGATCAAAAATGACAAAACAGCTCCGGGTAATTTGAATTTAACAATTTTGAAATGAACTTTTGAAAGGGTTTCTAAGAGGTTCCTCCTACTTTCAGAAAACTTTCGTCTGCACATATGCCAAACAGAGTCTGGTCTACCACTTTCCTATTTGGCTATGTTTGTAAAAACGATAAAGAAATAGATACGACCCTCTACAAAGACTGTTCAAAGCTTACACATTCATCTGTAAATTTAGTCTCAGTAACCTATCAACCGAAAGGTATGACACCAATTTCGATCTTACGTCAGTTTATTAGACCACTCCAAAAATTCTTGTATTCTCCATTGGATGAAGCAAATCTAGCAAAAAAAAAACAACTAGAAGAAAATCAAGATAATGTACGAAAGCAATTTTCTTTCTGGTATAGTTTTACCAGAATGCTTGAACAGCTAGAATCGACATCGCGTCATTTTCATCTCTCTTCAACTTTTCCTAGATTTTTCACTTTTGGTATCAGATTCTCTAAAGCCAATAGATCCAGCGTATCATCATCAGACAGAAAAAATTTACGACTCGCTAACTCAAGAGTCCATGATTCTTGTTGAATTGTAAGATCTTTCACGAAAAGTTTATATTTTGTTTTTGGTTTTTGAGTATTATACTTTATTTGCAAAGTGATCCCTTTCAAAACGAAAACTCAGGACTTTGATATGTTTGTAGTCGATTACAGAACCCATGAGAATATGCACATAAATATACAAAATGTTTCACTTTCAGAGTTAGCAAAAGGGTAATGAAAAGCACTTTGAATTAAGTTACTCATATTTATTCAAACTACTTCGCAATAATTTCTTGGCAAGTCATTTATTTGCAAATATAGATTCAAGAATAGGAGTTTGACTTTGAAAAAGTTTTTGAAAGTAATTTTTGGATTTATTCATTATCTTTTTGAAGGGCTGACTCTGCTTCTACGTAAAAAATTCGTGTCGAGAGTTTTGAAGCGGAAGCTTTGTCGAAGAAAGTGAGCATTTTTCGCGAATTTCCTCAAGGGTTTGGAGGACTTTTTTGAAGGCGATAAAGCTCAGCTTTTGATAAACCATATAAATTGTACATAATTCAGTATTTGCTGGCCAAACAATCGCTTATGGTCTATGAGATGCGAAATATTCTGTAAACCAAGGCAATCACTCACATCTGGAAGATTGACTCCTCTGTCACCGATTTCTAAGCTCCCGTCAGTCGATGGCAATGATGGACTTCGCTCGAATCGTTTTGACACAATGCCAAATACCTAAACTCGTATTCTTGTTATTTTAAATTAGTAAATTAGGCGATGTGTAAGCAGAACTGTTGTTAGGTATTTGGAAGCCGTCAAAAACTTAAGTTTACTTGATTGGCTTATTTATAACATCTAGCTCCGCTTACCTTCGCAGCCAACGTTACCAGGTAGCCGACACGACCTCCTGAAGTTGATGGATTGCATTCGACTTCGCATGGTTTGACTTTAGCCATATCTGAAAATATTCTATACATTGTCCATTCATGTTCCAGGAAAGTGGAAAATACGAGAAAATTAGGCAGGGAGACGTAAACTGATTGAATTTCATGTATCTTGGTTGCTGTCACAATTTCTATTCATTTGATCAAATCTTACCGAATTTTTTTGACGTGTTTTTTATCTAAATTGTGTACAAGTGAGAAATAAATAGGTTACCTTAGGGTGGAAATCTAAACGACACTCAAGCTGGTACATAATTGATGTCCGTAGCAACAACTTTGTCAAAACTCTATATTTTTGAGCGTATTTTGTGACAGGCAGCCTGAACTTAAAAGAATATTCCTGATCATTCAAGTAGCTAACCGCTAAGCTCTGCAAATTTCCAACAATATGTCCTACTGTATTGTCCTACTATCACGCTTACACAACTAAACAAAATTTTGGCGATTGTTATAGAAAAATTTCAAAGGGCATTTTTGAGCCAGCAGCAACTTTGCATTTTGGTAGATTTCTCAACTTAAAATTTTCAAAAATCAAGTTTGAGGGTGCAAAGAGCAGAATTACCTATTACATATAGTGAATTGTTTCCAAAACAATGAAGTCATTTGCGTTCATTTTCTGCCAAGATAGTGGATGCACAAATTCGATTTTGCGAGTGTTCAAAATTCTGTAAAATCAGACAAGCCTAAGACCTGTTCAGACCACTAATCTCTATATATATAAAGCAGAAAATCTGTGAGTTTGTTTGTGTGTTTGTGCACATTCGGGTGCAGGTTGTGCAGGTTGTGCAGGGTGTGCAGGGTGTGCAGGGTGGGGAGGGGTTAAGTGAACATGCTGATTCGAATAGATTATTGATAGGACCAGGCGGAGCCGGGTTTGCCAGCTCGTAGAAAATACATAAGAAGATTGATATTAAATCCTCTAACTATGCGAGACTTAGCTGAAAAATGTTTTTTTAGGAAAAAGTTGTTTGGGAGCCCAAGCCTAAAACGCACATCAATTTTGCGATAACCTAATTTTTTCTCAAATTTTGGCCTAGACGTGCAGATCGCGCTTTGCGTGTTCTATCAAAATCCTGTAAGGCCTTACAGCCTGCTTTGCTCAATCGAACTGAAGCGACACCCAAGTAAAAAATGATAGTGAGGACGTTCAAGCATTGAGAGAAAGTGAGCGTTGAGACCAAAAAGTAGGTGTGACTGAAAAAGCCACAGAAGAGCAAGAAGATGTTTGATCGAGCAATCAGATTATGCACATCGGGAGAATGGTTAACCAGCGAAGGTTAGTTCGAACACACCAATTCCGAGAGCATTAGCAGCCACTACTCAACGGCATCACGTGCTTAGGGAATCATCGTCGTCCCATTCCGGATGCGCTTATACCGCGATTCCAAAGAAGCAGAGGTTGACTCAGGCCTAACAAGCGTATCACTTACTGGTATGAAATTGTTATAAAAGAGGACCATCAAGTCGTGGAGCAAGTTTACACTTAGGGAAGATACCTTCAATTTCCTCAGAAAATTTTTCTCCGTTTTCGAATTATGTGAAGAGTTGCATTTTTGATATACAGATGTCCCAAAAATGTGCCTACTGTTTGATTATTAATAGCTCTCTTGTCATGCAATCTTTTGGAAAGAACTAGATACCATTTTATAGAACTGGCTTCAATTTAGTCATACAGTATAATCACCTATCTCTTTTCATTACTGTAATATTGTATGGAAGGAACTCGCAGCTTATGGTGCCACTATGAGAAAGGCCGTTTGAGTAAAATTTTTCAAAAAAAAAACTGAAAATTTGTATGACAAGGTTCTCATGCACGCTGATTTCACCACATAACTTTTTACTGTTCAGAGCTTTTTGAATGGTCTAATCAAATTTTCGACAAATATCAAACGTCACGTTATATTATTTGGCAGGAATTATGAAAAAAGCATTACGGTGAGGTGCTAGTTTCATATGGAATTAGCGACCCTGATTAGCCTACTGTAGAAGTGTTCCGCTCCTTTAGTCCTTTTTTAGAGGTAAAATATGACCCTCAATGACCCAAAAGCCTCTTCAAAGCTCCTACCGTAATCCTACAGTAATGAAGAGAGAACGGTCATTCGCTCAATATCGCAAAAGAAAGTTAAAGCTAGCTCCACACAATGAAGCTTCTCAAGAGACTCAATGACAAGGTAGTTATTAACAATCAAACGATAGGCACATTTTTTTTTTGAGAGACCCTATATAATCTTCATACATGAAAATTTCAAAAAAATGTTATTTTGTCTGCCCCATAATTATTTTGGCATAATTCTAGCTTGAGTTATAGGAGACATAATAGCAGTGATGCTCTTGGAATTCTACAAATAAAATTGAAAAGATGGGAAAAGATCAGAAAACATCAAGAAAGGATATTAGAGATTGGAAGTGTTACAAATTGCCTTTATATCTATCCTTTAAGTCCGCAAAGATGAAGGTGATCTCAATGGAGAGTTCATGCCTCTTCCTCATTAGCCAGATACGAACTTTGCGAATCTTCTAGACTTCCAGCGGAAGACGAACAATTAACACGAGCTTGTATATCATGACCCAATATCAGTGGCGGTCCCAGGATTTCGGACCGGGGGGCGGCACGGAAAAAATTTTTTTCAAATAAAGGTGCGTGGCGTCAGCCACGCACTCCGAAAAATTTTTAGGGGTCCCCAACCCCTAAAATCGCCCTCCCCCTCGGACCGCCACTGCCCAATATGTATGTCATGTCCCAATATCTCCAAAATTTACTCCAAACGCCGATCCGCATTTTGTTCATTGAACGGCTCTCTTGGAGAACTTACGTACTTAAAAGTTTAAAATCGTTAGGATCAAAATGGGTACATAAAATACCAAAGAGTTTGATCTCAGCCCTTGTCAAAATAATCTGGTGGTAGCTAGCTTGGCAAAAACTAAATTACGCATTCTCCCACTGCGTCACAACTTTCACAAAAATCTGTTAACTTTTTCATATAATCGCCATATCGAATAAATTTCCTGTGTAATTTGGCCTATCATAGTGAGAAAGAAATTCTGAAAATTAGATTAAAACCCGGAACGTAAGTGAATTCATTTTGTTGCTAAGTAGAGGTTATAAAAACAACTTCATCACAAGCAGAAATACAAGTCCTACGGGGTCCATTGCAATTAGCTTCGAGCCACTAATCACATCACTTTCGAGCAACAACAAGTCTGAGAGCATCTTGAAAACTCTTAACTATACGTGAGAAAAAGTTCTTCCGGTAAGTAGGTATTCTTGAGAAAGAAATAGCTTGTATATCTTCCAGAAAAAAAGACACAAAGGTATATCTTTCAACTGTGTTGGATCATAACAGTAATTGATATGGCAGAGAAGAGGGTGGAGAGAACCATGATGGGTTGTTTTTCATAGAATTCACAAAAAACATGACATGCAGTCGTTAATTCGAGAGCGTGCCAAGCAAGTATGAAAGAAATTCGATAAAGTCTACATGCACTACCTCCGGTTTGGTTGTACAGAGATTATGATTTGCATTAATACTAGTCGGAAACATAAAAAATCTAATATACAATACGTTTTCAATAAGCTCAGCTGAAATGGTGAGAAATCATTGGCTTCAGTAATTGGATTAGCAGATTTTGTACACCTTATTTTGATGGCATTTCAACGAATAGAACATTCTAAAGCAATTTGCCGTTGTAAAAAAGGCATTGACGATACACATTTCGAAAATTTTGACAAGAGATAAAGCGGGAAGGGAGACAAAGCAAAACAAGGAAAAAAGAATGGAAATGTTACAAAACGTCGTAAGCTTGCTGGCTATGTGTGCATTCAAGGCTTCTAAAGCAATGCGTACGCTTGAATCCCTGAGTAGAAAGCAAATTTGAGACTTTTCAAAGCAACTTTTTTAGTCGAAAAGTGTAACAAAACTCATCAATCTAGATTCAAAAATGCATTGTTCTTAAACAACGCGGAATGTTGTGAATCGTACTCAGAACTCCGAACTCAGAAACACTGGAGGAGAATTATGAAATGACTCATGCTCTCACATATCAGGCATAACATGCCACTAATTCACAAATTTGATCTGCCTACGCACGTTTTTTATCAGCTCAGCTATTTACTAACATCTTATATTAGGTCGTCCCGAAAGTTTTGTCGGTTTTTTCAGACCACTATAAGACCACGCACAATGAACATCCGAATGAGCTTCATCATGCTTTCGATGCAGCTTTTTCTTCTCTTTCTTGTGGTTACATTTTCGAACCAAAATTCTGCACGCTTTCTTTGATAATTGCTTAAATTCTTCACCCATCATTTTTGTCTGCTCAAAGTTCGGCTAAATTTTGAAAACTTCATTTCAAAGTTTCGGAAAGGGTTAAGTAAGGACTAAATAGAGCAATTCTCGGACTACAAGATAATATTTTTAGATTCCACTAATCTGCTGATTTTCGCTTCAAAAATTTATTTCCTCGGAGGTCTCGATTTTTGGCAAAGTCAAGAAACACGTAACTGCTGCAAAAACATGAAAACTTCTAAAGTTTCTGCGAATTGCGACATAATTCTTATTGAACACTATTTATGCAACATTATCCAGGTTGATTTGCTGTGAAAAAGTAGCTTTTTGCAATTTTCGGTACTTTTACGTGGCAAACGTAATCAAGAAGCCGCGGTTTCTATTGAATAAATTATTATAACGGACTTGGTAAACGTAACCCACGCAATCTAAAATGAGTTTGATGTAGCCAAAGCTTTGCTCTACATAAAAGTTACCAGCGCTCCTTAGAGGTGTCAAGACGAAAATTTTTAAAATTCAGGAAAGGTTTGGCAATACCGTTGAGCTGCTCAAAAAGCCATGGCGATAACATTGCAAAGACAGGGTAGGTCAGGGAGCAAATATAGCTGTAAGAAAGAGAATGAAAATCTAAATCAAATGGTACCTAGAACGTTTATAGACTGGTGTTCTGTGAGTTTTAGTGAGCGATGAGAAAAACCGACAAAACTTTCGGGACAACCTAATATATAAAGCTGAATGTCTGTTTATCTGTATGTCTGTATGTCTTTACGTCTAAACCGATTTAGACCAAACTTGGCACACATATACTTCGCGGCGGGGAGCGTGTCATAGGCTAAATTTCGTTTTCGGTCGATATCGATTTTATCGATTTTTATCGATTTTTTGCAGGTAAAGTTGGTACAGGAAGGTATGTGAGCACGTTGATTACGAATACAATAATAGTTTCTGAAATTATAGACTGTCTTTATCGATTTTATCGATTTTTTGCAAAGTTCAAGCTACAGGGCTAGGAGTTGGCAACAAGGGGGTAAGTGAGCTAACACTGCTGATTGCTAACACAGCGGGAGTAGGAAATTGACACGTAGAAGTGGGCATAGGAAAGATTGTACAGGGAGGGTGAGACCTTTATTAAAGTCTCTTGACAGGGCCGAGCGGAGCCGAGTAAGCCAGATAGTGACTATAGATAGTTCAAAAAGTACGTAGAAAACTGAAATGGCATTGTGCTGTGGGTTATCTATATTTTTTTAGCCTTAGACAAACGGTAGTTGGAGCAAAATGTGGAAATATAGCCTCGTATCAATCTGAGAAAATTTGACTGAATTTTCAGCTATACCAGCAATACAGCGTCACATAGTCGCTATAGAAGGTGTGCAAAAAAAAATAGAGTAAAAAATAGTTTACCGGATGAGAGAATGTGGCTGAGAGAATTTTCCAAAGAAGCAGAACAAATTTAAATTACAGAAGAACCTAGAAGACATCGTAACTAAGAATTCAAAGCATTTGCTGCAAACATGGTCCAGAAAAATTGGTAACTATGATAATTTTGCTGCTTTTTCCAATATGTATCGAACAAAAATTGTGCGCATTATGCTACAGGACTGCTTTTACAAAAAATCGTTCAAAACATGGTATAAGGAAAATAATGCTTTATTTATCAGATGTTTCAAAAAAAATGTTATTCCAGTATCTGCTTTTTCACTGTCATGCGCTGCACCCGAACATGCGCTGAATTGTAAAATATTTATTGAAACTTAGCAAAAATGCATTAATTTTGCGCTAACTTTAAACATGCGAAACATGCGATGCAGGATCAGGGTACAAAAAAGGTATAATTTGGCAAAGAAGGTGTCATGTTTACATCAAAAAGTTTTTGAATAGCAAATTTTATGGGTGAAACATAGGAACGAATTATGTGTCAGGTTGGCCAATAAAAAGTTTCGGTTGCTTTTGCGACCCCTACAGAAGCTGCAGACAAATTTTTGTTCAGTATTCCTAAGAAAGAACATGTTGACAGGATTTGGATTATATTAATTTAATTAGTGTTTAAATACATAGAGTTTGTTCCTCATGAAAAAAAAAACGCGAAAAAGCGAGAAATTTCCTCATTGTGCGCAAACTTGAGAAAACTCCCTTTTCTCAATCGAAGAATCTCAAAACGGCAGATCAAATTTTGAAGTTATTTGCTACGAAAACGTGGGTGTATCCAAACACCAAATTATTCATCCCTACATCCATCGCAGCATGAAAAGCTTAGAAAGTTAAAGAATTGATGTTTTGGTTTCCATATTGGACAGCTTTCCTTCACTGATGGTGAAAAAAACACTGAGTAGTTGACTTGAGATAGAGAAGGCTTTAAACAACTTCTCCTCAGAAAATTACGGATGAAAAACATCAACAAAATTTTCTACGGAAGTTTGCGTAAAAATATGAAGTATTTTTTAGCCAACCCATTATCTGCGAATCCATTAACTTTGATAAATAATCTCTCAGTATTTTTACCTTTGCCTTATGATACTATTGACTGGTGCTCGTAACATGATGTTCCTTTCGTATGTATACATCCGCGATCTATGATGTGCGGCTTTCAATTACAGTATCTCATCTAATTAGCTTTTATTTTAGCCGTTCAAAAATCACGCTTTTTGAGCAATGTTTTGATGCAGTGTTTGGTCGATCACAGCCTTATCGCTGTTACGAACCTTTATAAATTTTCTTGAATACATCAGACAAATCTGCACTGGACACAGTTTTCGAGATTCTCTGTTACTTGCAATTTCTCGTGACCACAAGAAGTACATTTGGATGAAAATTGGTAGATTTTTAATGTAAAATTTAACAAAATACGCAGATGACGACGAATAAAAGGTCGGAGGCTGCTGCGATTGGAGATTTATTGGAGGTGGGCAAAATCCATTTTTGACACCCGGCTTAGATAATAAACGGATTTGATTTGTCGCAGCTCTCACTTTTTTTATTTCACGTATATTGAAAAGTATACAAGTCAACTTCCAAGCAGATAGCATACAAGATTGCAGCTGAAGTTGCTCAACGATGACGTTTTTTTATTTCTGGAAAAAGCCTCATCGTCAATTCCACGCACGCTCTTTATCGAATCCAACCCTGTAACTGAAGTCAGGTAGTCATTTGCTGGGATCTTTGCGATATATCTGATAGTAAGCAAAGAAGAACATTTCCTCTCTTCAAAAAAAAAATCCAACTTCGCCGGTTTTTTTTTAAGGCGAAGACTGATTGGGAGACCACAACTAGTCACTATTCAAGCAGTAGTTCACAAGAATACTACAAAACCCAGACCGTACTCTTTCACCTTAAGAGTAAGGTAGCTAATACGGTGTGGGCAGGAGTTCGAAATTGAATCTTTCAGCCACGAACAAAAGCTGACGTTTAAGCAATGGCTAGGCCAGGGTCTCCAACTCCGTCTCCAAAATTCAATTTTGAACTCAAGCCCACACCGTCTCCCTATCGTACCCAAGGTTGGGAAGATTACGTTCTGAGCCTTGGATTATCCGCATCAGCTACGAAACAGTTTTCACAAATAAACCCGAGCACCCACATTTGTCCAGACACTTTAAATGTTAGCACTCTCAAAAAAGCGGAGAAAGCTCAGATTTATTTTGAAAGACATAAAATAACAACATAAACAACGTCAGAAGACATGCCTATTCAAGGTTCACGCTATATCGAATTGATAGGCTTTCATAAAGCACGTCCTAAAGGCATTGCACTTGTGACAGTAGAATAAAACAACATTAGAGCGAATACTAAAAACAATTCAATACATATACAAACAAGATATAAAAATTCTATTATAGTGTGTGATCCCGTAGAGTAATACCATAGAACACGAGCCAACCAGTGGCCCTGCTTGGCGACTAGAAACTAGTGGGAACGCTGGGACTCAAGAAGGTTAACCACGTAAAACAGAGGGCAAAAGCATCAACCTTGAAAATTGTTAAAAGCTATGAAAGATACAAGAAAAGGGTTTAAGTGAGAGGTGAGGTCATTCATGTGCTAGATGGCATAGGGCTCTGCACTCGGAGGGATGGATGAGGAGACTCTTGCTCATTCACCACTGAGAATACGATACCCTGAATGAAAAGATTAACAGCAATGTTTCAAAGAGAAATATAATAATTGAATCTTTTGTTTGGTACACAACCTGGCTTACGAATTATTGCATGCTTGAAAAAAAACTTCGATTATCTAGACAACCCTCCTTTTGCAATAACTCATAACGCTATAATCGTCCACCGTCAATCTAAAGGCACCGTCTAGCTAGGCTGAGATTGACGAGATTTTGTTGCTATATGATAGCGGTGCACCTGACTAAGCAATTCGCCAAGTTCCGTTAAAAAAGATGAATTCCAAGGCGAGAAAACCGCTCCAGAAGGTAAAAGCGACTCAGGTGACTCCGCCCATCAACGTGGGTGGTCTGAAGATAGTAAGTCCAATCTTGGGTTTCAAGATAGATGTAAATGCCGGGAATTTAATTGTCATGACACAGGGCGGATTTACAACAATTTTGGATAAAATGAACCTCAATTATTGGCTTATTATCTTCATGCCATCTACGTTGATGGGCGAAGCCTGGGACGCTTCCACATTCTGGAACGGTTTCTCGCTACGAACTTCATCTTTTGCAGCGGAACATGGGCGACTGCTTACTTAGGAAACCCACTACTATATTCAAAATCTCAACATCCTCAGTTTGGGTGGACGGTGCCTCAAATCAAGTTTTCTCTGCCGGTAAGATAATCGCTACAATCTAACTATCTTAGTGAATTTATGAATCAAATTGCTTATAGTCGTCCATATCAACAGTAGAAAAAGGAAATAACTTCCTAAAGAATTATAAAGAGAAAATGGAGAAAATGGGTTTCTATCTTAGAATCATCAAAGCTAGTGTGAAGTTCTGGCTCTTCCTCGGTGAGGTTTACGGCAACATCATCGACATCAGAAGATATATCCGTCAATTGACAATCTGCTAGTTCCTCTTCTTCTAGCAGTCGTGAGTGGTCGGTCTGCAAGCAGATTGATTCTTGGACTTTTACAATAAATCTGACCAGATCATTCACAAATCGCGCATTTAGTGCATTCGCACAACCCATTACAGAGGACGCAGTAAAGGCAAAGTGTCTATCAAAAGCATATTTCCTTTTCTCTGAGTGCTACTCATCCATTACATAATACTCCTTCTTTGTAAAGATACACGCAAACAGACATGACCCAGTTTAGAAATAACGCTGAATCCCTGCGTCTTTACCTCCTCAGCTATTTTATCTGCTGTAGATCTCTTCGGACGGGCTGAGCTCTCCCGTTTATCATGTGATCCTCCTTCACCATCACTATGGTCACCCTCCTACAAATCGTACACATTCAAGAAAGAAAAATCAACGAGATAAGAGATTCTTACAGGATGATCCGTAGAGAGCGATCGTCTCTGTCGCAAGTTTCTACCCTCCTTATGAATGGAAATGGAGTCAGTAATGGTGGTGTATTCTTCGTGCCGTCGTCTCACGCTTCTAAGAAAGACAAAAATGTAAAAAAAAAACTCCAGCTCAGAGTAAAAAAGTGAACGAACCCTATCTTCATAGGAGAAGGCAGCGGAGGATCAAGTGACAACATACTGCCACATTTTCGCTCGTATGGGCGAGGGGATAGCAGATTGGGATCGTCGGTGGAACTATGCGCACCTATAACTACTCATGTCGCTAGATGCCCACCACGGTAATGTGAAACTTCTCTTAACATACCGGTACCAGATACTGTATTCACACGCTTTTGCAGGGATATCGGCAGCGGAGCGAGACCTTCAGCTGCAGAGCCAGCGTCGGATACCACAAGCACAGACTGGGAGTGCTAGAAGAAAATCTTAGGGTGTGCATAACGTCCGTTGCGGAATGCTTACCTCATATGGTCGGTCATCGGGCGTAGGTGACGCTGGCATATTAGTTGACATCAGAGCTCGAAGGCATTCCAAAATTTCAGTCTGAGTTAACAAAATGTTAGAAGATAAGCGAATTGTAGGTAATTTAGAAGGTAATCAGAAAAGTTTTTGTAGCTGGTCACTGGCTCTTGAACTGACCTGGGTTTTCTCAATAGCCATCATCCTGGTATCCAATTCGGTAACCGTCTCGCGGGTATTTGTTTCTTTTAGAGCGATATCGTTAAGCCGGTTAAGAATCATTCTAAACACTTTATTTTATAAAAGTATCGGCTGCTGATTTTTTATAAGAAAACGAAAAATAAAAAATTTGGAAGAAGAAGGGAAAAACCCGAAGAGCCCACTGAAGCAAGGAAAGGTGAAAAAATTCCAAAAACAAACTACCTCTCAGCAGTCCGCAGTATTCGCTCTTCATTGCTGGTGCAATTTCGAAGCTCTTTTTCTCTCGCTAAGTCATTCATGCAATCTTCCTCGAAATCGTGCAATTTCTCTAATTGATCGTCTTTCAGGAAGACCTCTGCAGAAATTATGTATACATCTATGAAAAAGAGCAATTTAAAATTAGTTGACTTACTCAGACTGAAGTCAAATATTTTCTTTTGACGATTCCCATCCGGATCCACTTCATGCCGAGCCGTACAGAGTTTCCACTTCACATAGCATAAAACCATGATGACGTGCCTAATGAGAGTGAATGGAGGTGGTAGGAACGGTGTACTCTCATATTCCATAACCTGCAAACGTTTCCACTGAAATATCTATGTACCAGGCAGCTTGTAAACATACCTGGCGATACCGCTCGAAAAGCCAGAGTTGCTGAGCTATCTCATTGGCTTCGTCGAAAATGTGGCTAGAATGATGTGATTACCTCTATCGTAGTCGTCGTATCAAAGTAAAAGTGACAGAAAAAAAGATATATGAGTAAAAGTGTTTAAGTACGGAAGCAGTAGATGCGATGTGACTTACTTGATCATAGCAATGAGCATGCTCATTAGCAAGACAAATCCAAGCAACAGGAAGAAAACCATCAACAATGGTGGAATCCAATACCCAGGCACACAAGTGGCACCATATGTACTGTTTACTATGGGTCCACCTTTCTCCAGATGGGTTTCCCAAGCTGTGAAAAATGCATAAGTAATCATAACATCACCTCGGAACTCTATCCCCTACCTTCATCCCCACAAGTGTCAATTTCTTCGACATATAGTTCACCATACAGCATGAAGTATGGCTTGTAAAAGATGTTTCGCACCTACAACAGTATACGTGCAGAAAATGAACGGAAGAGAAAATTACAAAGATGTCAAGAACAACTTGGATAACACTCGCAAAACAGCACGAAAAGGGAAAAGATGAGAAAGTTGGTATTTAACAGTGAGATATACCCACCAAAAGCCAATGAAAATCTTCTTTAGGATATGTAATGGACTGCCGAACAAGACCAAAAGCAAATAGCGCTACTGCCAACATAATCACGATGTAGATCATATTTCGAATCTAAAACCACATTCAAAAATTCCACTAAAGCGGCAAAAAATGTAGATAATTGCCATCGTCCCAGCCATAGTGACATAGGCTCCCATGCGTGGATGTAAACTCATGTAGTCTAACAATTTCATTATCCATAGAATCGAACTGCAGGCCAAAATTACCCGCCCAGTCGTTGTTACACTGCAAACACATGTAAATATTTGGTTTGATACAAAAAAAAATCAAAATGAGGCTTACCCAAAAGCCCGCATCCCAAACCCAAACAAGAAAGATACAACAGCAATGGCAGTAACTTTATTCCAGTAGTCGTAAAAGAAATACTTGAGCTTTTGACCAAAGGGTTGCATTTCGGACATGAGAAACTGAATAACAACAATAGATAAAAACATCTTCTGACATTACACAGAAATAGAATAGAATAGAATTAAAATTACCAGTTCGCAGATGATGGGCTTGCGGAATATGCCAACAAAAAACGGTTAATATAGTGGTAAAAAAATGAAAAAAATTAGAGAAAACTACCTTCCGAAAATGTTCTATTCCAAAGGCAATCACATAAGCGAATAAAACCCATTCCAGCCAGGTAGGATTTTTTGGTGTTCGAACAAGAAGGACATATGTAAAAGCAGTGAGAAATAAGCAGAAAGAGATAGTCCAAACCCAGAATGTAGTGATAGGTGCCATATAGAATTCATATAAACGTCGGCGTAGTTTGATTGGTCGCTGAAAAAATTGTGAAGCTAACTAAATCATGACTTCGATCACTGCAACTTCTCAAAATTTGGAAAACTATTCTATAGCTACGTATATGTATATGACTCAAATGCTTACCATTCGAGGTATATTTGGTCCAGCGGTCATAAGAAAACCCGGACGATTATTGAAAGGATTATCACTTTCTTTCGTCACTGCCACCGATCCAGTTTTCTTTATGCTATCTACAAAAAAGCAATTCAAACGCAATCTACATCTTATATACCAAAACTTACTTGTAGAGCTAAAAGCAGAATTCTTTCGTGCTTCATTCTTTGGAATAACGCCATTGAGACGATAGGATGGCGCTCGCGTTCGCTTTTTGGTGTACGGTAGTGGTGTCGGAGAGGAGGGAGCATTCGCTGATGATCCTGAATGGGATAGAAAATAGGGCTGGTAACACTAAATATACAAGGTAACCACCACCAAGACTACATAGCACGGTACATCGACCTCGGAACGTACCATATTCAGGACAATCCGGCTTTGCAGTTTCACTGACATCTGCTTCGCGGTCATCTTTTGTCATCTTCTTCCATCTCCGAGTATGGAATAGCTAAAAATCGAGATTAAGACGATGGAACAACCCTTATAGAAACTTACAGATGTGATGTTAAGTGACTGCACACTTTCATGGGTAACACACCGATTTCGTTTCTGATTGTTATCCATATCCTGTAACAAAGGAGTACGATAGTAGAAAATAACAACGACAGCGAACTACCTTTTCTTCCTCCTCTTCATCATCAAAAAAGCTGGAGCTCGAATCTTCGGATAGACTGGAGCTGGAGCTTGACGAACTGCTGCTCTCATTCAGATCCTGCTCATGCTCAGCAGCCGTCTAAATGTCATTATCAATAACAAACGCTCGTATGCAGTGGTGTACCCATGATTTCAACGGAGGGGAGGCGACAAAAATTTTTTTCGAATGAATTCAGACAATTCTGCGCGCAAGCGGCGCGCACTCACGACCAGCAGGGCAGGCGGCGGGCAGTGATTTGTGGGCGTGACCTTGCACCGCACAGGCGGCGCGCACTGATTTCACCTTTTAAGGTGCGTGGCGTTAACCGAAAAAATTTTTTACAAGGCTAATTTGAATTTATAAAATTTCTTAAATTGTTTCAATTATTTACAAATACAAACAAGTCATTTGCACATTTTTATAACCCTTATAGGTAACTTTTAAAAATTTCGCGACCTATTCTCGAGGGGGGGGGAGGCGCCCTCCCGCCCCCCTCTCCTCGTCACTGCTCGTATGTACTGTATGTATACCATTTCATCTTATGTATAAAGCTGAATGTCTGTTTGTATGTCTGTATGTATGTCTGTATGTATTGTCTGCGCCCCAGAGAGGTTCCCATAGGTACCACGTCATCTCGCTGCCTTTCGCACTTTTGAACATGTTAACCTCGGGCACTTTCGTTAAAATCTCAGGAGAAACGTGTCAAAAGAGCGAAAGGCAGCGTCGCACCACGTACGCACGCTGGTTCACATGGGAACCTCTCTCGGGTGCAGACGATATGTATGTACGTATGTTCCGAATACAAAATTCCATTTCTGAACCAATCGGGACCAAACTTGGCACACATACACTTCGGGCCCCGGCGGGTGTCATAGGCTACTTTTCGTCATCGATCGATATCGATCGGTAACGAAAGGTGGACTGTGACACCCGCCGGGACCCGAAGTGTATGTGTGCCAAATTGATCCGGATTGGTTAAGAAATGGAATTTTCTATTCGGAACATACGGCGGAGCCGGGTAAGCCAGCTAGTACTATATAAGTGCAGATAAGATTTACCTGCGGCTGATTGAGAAGCTCCTCTCTTGTCTTAAACTCCAGCATGAGGATTGATATTGGAAACAACAAGCCGCAAAGGACTTTGAGATCTGAGTGACTGAAAATATGTGTACAAGGTTGACTTGCTTTACGGTAAAACATCTCAGTTGATAAGTAAGTGTTTCAAAAAGGTCAGGAAAAAAGTTCTTCAATGGCTTCGACCATGGTTATTTTTTCAAAAATAGCCAGCAAAAACAAATAGCGGTAGATCAGACCAACGAAAAAATAAGAAAAAAGAGAAGTGAAGCTGTCGTAGATTATCCAAATAATCTACAACCTTCAGCATTGTAGATCTACCGTGTATGTTATATTTAGCATATCTGTTAGCTTGTCGTTGACAAACCTTATTGTTCACTGACCACTTAAGCCGCCAGGTCACCCCTCCGCTGTGCTTGATAGTCTACTTGGCGGCGCCTACTTTCATGTAGGCAATCCTTCATGCTGTATGATACTATTGTTTACCAGAAATGAGCATTCAGGTTATCCACGCCCAAAATAGTGGCATAAAAGGGCCTGAATACTCAATTCTGGTGTTGGTTCGATTGATACCACTATCGTCAGCGGCTGTTCCGCATATTCACTGTTGATAGTCAGCGGCTGCTCCGCTACTATCTAATAAACAGTTATACAACGTAGTGGTACCAGCTTGGTGTATACCAAATTGGTGCATTCGGCCTACGGTTCACTTTCTGGCGTTTGTTACCCAGAAAGCTGATAAAGTCCCGCGTGGCAGACACTCCACTAATTAATTGAACCCTTTTGAGCTCTCTCTTCGTGAGACGACCAGAAGGTAGTAAAAGCGTTAGTTGGCAGTCTTCTTCACTGATCAATCGAACCCTTCTGAGCTCTCTCTTCGTGAGACGACCAAAAGGTAGTAAAAGCGTCAACCGAAGAAATTTCACTGGTCAATTGAACCTTTCTGAGCTCTCTCTTCGTGAGACGACCAGAAGGTAGTAAAAGCCCCAGCTGAATACTTCTCCACTAATTAATTGAACCCTTCTGAGCTCTCTCTTCGTGAGACGACCAGAAGGTAGTAAAAGCGTTAGTTGGCAGAAAATCACTGATTAATTGAATCCTTCTGTGCTCTCTTTACGTAAAACGACCAGAAGGTAGTAAAAGCGTCAGCTGAGGAAACCACTGGTTAATTGAACCTTTCTGAGCTCTCTTTTCGTAAGACGACCAGAAAGTAGTAAAAGCTCCAGCTGAAGACCTTACCACTGAAACTGAACTCTTCTGTGATCTCTTCTAGTAAGACGACCAGAGGTTAGTAAAAAAACAGTTGGTACATCTTTAATAGTTCACTCGAAAGCTATTGAACTACAAGGTCTCCTCAAACTCGACTGGGCAGGATCCAAACCTAACCAGTTAGCACAGCGTTCAAGCCCATCGGCACGCTTGCTAACCAACTAGAAGAAGCTAAGCGCTCCACTGCTAGCTCACTAGTGACTGATTTTCTTGCACTCAGCAAAAAAAAATCCCACAGAGGTTCAGGCCCAGCCAACCTCCACAGTTCTCGACAGCTGCGCGTACTCAGTACCCAGCCAGAACACCTCTACCAAAGAGGACATCTGCAGTGCCAAAGAACGCAGACGAAGAAAGCGCAAGCGATACAAGTCCATGCGCACAAGGCAGACGATGGCTGAGCTAACTCTATATAAAGCTCGCATTTCTATGGCTTGTTCATCAATCAGCGGTCTTGAGGACAAGGTCCGCAATATTTATAAAGCTTTCGAGTTTCCCGACACCGCAACCGATTGCAACGCCTTTATAGCGGATAAAATGGCAGAGATTGATGAACTGCAAATCTCGCTAATAGGTTTACTGGAGAACCTAGAGGCTCAAGTGCAAACTGCCATGAATTTTCTCGGCGCAAAAAAGGACCAGTCAGACAAGGACAAATTGATAAACGATTTGGCTACCTTCCTAAGCACAGAAGCAAACGGTCTACAGCTTGAGAGTATTCACTGGAAAAATAGGCTGAAATACCGGATGAGAGAACTGGAGAAGCAATCGAATCTGATCCAAGCCCACACCCTAACGACGTCATCACGTTCTAGTTCAGTGAGAGATCCGGAACAGGAGAGTTATATATCGACAAGGCACTCTTTTGAAAACAAAATGCGATTACCGCAGCTTGAAGTTCCCACGTTTGATGGCAGCTATAAGGAGTATCCAACTTTCTGGACAATATTTAACTCGCTGATCCATTGCAACCCGCAACTCAGCAACGTGGACAAGTTCCTTTTCTTGAGGCAAGCATTGAAAGGAACAGCAGCTTCGCTTCTTGGCAATATGCCAGTCATTGGAGAAAACTACGATAAAGCCATACAACTTCTCGATAAACGCTTCAACAAGTCTGGATGCATAGCAGATCTGCTTATCACAGAGCTTGAAAGGCTTCCACGAGCAGAAGAAGATGCCTACAGCTGCAGACAAGCTCTGATTAGTGTGACCGAAAAGCTCACTCACATCGAATGTGCAGGAGTTTCCTTGGACAACAACCGAATGTGGAGGCGACTAATACTTTCAAAGTTTCCAAACTCGTTGAACGAGAAAGTACTTTGCAAAGAGCAGAATGAAGCAAAATCATTCACAACAGAGGAGATCTTAGATGTTCTGGAAGATGCAGTCGCTTTGAAGGAAACCCTCGCCTTTACAACATCTGCATTTGGACAGTGCGATGTCGCGGGACGTTCCAATTCCGATCAAGCTATTGATGAGAGGCAGAACTGCGAAGAAGACTCAATCGCATACAATTATAAACAACATAACCAAGGAAGTACATCTTCGAGAAATTCGAGTGCTCAATGCATCTGCGGAAGTTATCAACATGATGCGACGCGATGCACAACATTCCAAACAGCGGCAGAGCGACGTGATGAAGCCAGGAAACAAAGGCTGTGCTTCAGATGTCTTCAAACCGATCACAGGATTAGTGATTGCACCAGCTCACAGTCATGCTACAAGTGTCACGGAAACCATCACATTGCCGTATGCATGGGTAGCTACTCAGCATCAAAAGGCACCCCAGTCAGGCGATCGCAGCAACGATCTGCTCGCGATCAACATCTTACGAGAGACCCTGAATTTGTGCAAAATTCTGAAATTCTCCACAACAAGAGCACGAAGCGAGGAGGAATGCAGCACGTACTGATGACGGCAACTGCATTCGCATACGACTACACATCGACCAGCTATAAGCCCGTGACTGTCTTCTTTGATGGAGGTGCACAAAAGAGCTTCATCAATGCAAAGAAGACCCAAGCTCTTGGCTTACCAGTGCTGCAAAACACCACTTTCAAGATTGGCGGCTTCGGAGGATCTAGCGCACATTTCACATCCAGTGAAGTCCCGCTTACACTGAGAACAACGTCTGCTGGAGTCGCTATCAAAGCCGTGAAGATACACACAAAGTCAACCCTCACTTCCGCGATGAGTACAGCTTGGCTAAGCGCAGAGGATAGAAGGTTGATTCGAAAAAGAAAGATTCGAGTAGCACAACCGGATCTGAAGACGCGACGGTTCACACCGGACATTCTCATTGGTCAAGATCTGATCGATCAATTCATCTTGAGGGATCGACCATGTACAATTCTTCCGTCAGGACTTATTCTCACCCCTACTGTTTTCGGTCATGCAATCTCCGGAAGCAGTCCGATAAATGGAATCAATATGGAGGAGCATTCGCAGAACACCGCAATCACCATGGTCTCCTACAATCATTTAGTGAGTAAAGGAAACTCAATGAAGCAGAAGCCAGTTAGAAGCGTCGAACAAGCTGAGCGCAAAACTTCCAAACGCCGAGCAAAGAAGCTCAGTCGTCCGTATCCGATGAATATGTTCGCACAACCTGAGAAGTCATCTAGGAAACACGAAAGCTGCCAACGTAACAGCGCATCTCGTGGACAACAATTCGATCGCAAACGCCGAAAACCAAGGGCTCAAGGACAATTCGTGAAGATGATTACTGATGCTCAACCGAGATGTCTCGCTTCAGCATCGCGCCTGGCCCCGAAGGCCGACCACGACATGATGGCCGACCACCTTACGAATCACAGACGAAGACAACGAACCCGTTACAGAAATCATGTGATATACGTGACTTAGCTAATGTTGTGATGAACTTTTGTAACCTACGTGTAACTTTTGTGATTTATATTTTCTTGCTTACGCGCCTTCCGTCGCGCGCCCCACTGTCGTAGATTATCCAAATAATCTACAACCTTCAGCATTGTAGATCTACCGTGTATGTTATATTTAGCATATCTGTTAGCTTGTCGTTGACAAACCTTATTGCTCACTGACCACTTAAGCCGCCAGGTCACCCCTCCGCTGTGCTTGATAGTCTACTTGGCGGCGCCTACTTTCATGTAGGCAATCCTTCATGCTGTATGATACTATTGTTTACCAGAAATGTTCATGAAACATTCAGGAAACATTCAGGTTATCCACGCCCAAAATAGTGGCATAAAAGGGCCTGAATACTCAGTTCTGGTGTTGGTTCGATTGATACCACTATCGTCAGCGGCTGTTCCGCATATTCACTGTTGATAGTCAGCGGCTGCTCCGCTACTATCTAATAAACAGTTATACAACGTAGTGGTACCAGCTTGGTGTATACCAAAGAAGCTTTCCAAAAAGTATTCACAAGTTATGATCAACACCGAAAGTAAATTGCTCACCTTCTGATACGCAAACCTCCGTGCCATAAGTCGGCTAACAGGATTTGACAGCTGAAAAGGAGATATCAAATTTAGGAAGAATAAGGCACAGTACTAAAAATGAATCACGGGTGAAACAACAAAAACTTCTACTGAAAACAACGTACCATGGATGCGCCAAAAATTGCTTGTTATTGACCATGACGGCAAGGGAAAGGCAGGTTTGGCAGCCCCAGTTCGACAGCTCATGTGTCAGCAACTAAACAATCAAATTCATAATTTTATTCGCTATACTGTATATTTGCCGCTTACCTGTAGAGTCAGTGCATTATCCTGATGGTAGCAATGTTCCAGTAATTCCAAAGACAAAACTCGAAACTCTCTGAAAAACAATTTTTAGCAAAAAAATCTGGCTAACAGATCTTGTGCACCTCACTTACTCAGCATACTTCCTCAACTCATCACAAATTTCTACTTCAAGATAGTCTTCGGCTGCTTCTCTCGAAAGGCTTTTGTATAGACGGCAAGCAACGAGAGCCTGGAGCAAAAATTCTGCTACGCCCCTTCCTAGAAAAGAATTCAAAAAAAATTCACCTTTGCTAGAGCTTCCTCGCCATGGTGCCATAAGCACATGGCCATTTCTTGTCTTTTTGTCAATACGGCCCATATCAAAAGCTCATTGAACGGATAGCGAAACTCGTACTCTTTTAAACCGCTGCCTGATCCTCCCGTGTTGGAAATTTCTACAGCAACTTCATTTTGAAACCAGTAAATTTCAAAACCAGTAAATTTTTTTCTGAAAACCAGTATGTGATGAAAATATTCTCCTCACCTCCATCATCAAATTCGCTATAATATTCGTGTGAATCACCCGCTGGCGGAGGAGCTGTGCATCCGCTAGGCTCCGTCGACTGTCGCGACAGCGCTGCGGAACCTCCGCACGAACGTCCGCCACTATTAATGACCGGCACAGATCCTTTCGCTGCCGCCAGGGATTTAGCCTGAAAAAAGCATTTTTTTAAGGCAAAGTCCAGACAATCTGAGCTTCGAGTATTTTATGTGAAGAATATTGCGCGGCTAAACCAGCGCCCAAACGGTATCTAGTATTCAAAGCCGGAAATGTCCACTTCAGACTCCTGCCCAGACCGTACTTTCCACAGTGCTCGAGGACGCTGATGGGTCCGCTAGGTACAGTAGTGGGCGGAGCGATTTGAACTTCCTAGCCCGCGAACGAATCACATCGGGGTCGAATTGAATTTCCAACCAATTTCTACCATAGATTTAAAGAAACTTTACCTTGTACTTAATAAAAGCAATGCATTTCGATCGGAATTCCGCAGTGGTATAGGAAGATTTGTACGCATGTCCCATAAGTTTTTCCATGACCAAACCGATATGTTGCAATCTATGAAATACTCAGTATCCAGTTAAAAGACAAGACAATCACAATGCCTTTCACAATGCCTACAACGCACTTATATCGATAGCCTGGTCGCACTTCCACTACATCTCTGACTATATAGTATAGCGTATTTGGTGGCCCTTGATCCTAAATAACAGATTGAGGAGATCGCAGCTTAAAAGCTTAAATAACAGATGGAGGGGAGCAGCTTAAAAGAAAGCTTTATATTTCGAAACTCCAGATACCTTGATTTCACGCTATGTACCTATCCGTCAGTATTCCTACTACCCTTACTATGAACATGTTGAAGAGGAGCGAGAAGCTGTACGAACCGCATTTTCCAGCTTTTGCATGATCCCAGGTGATCCCCGGCGCTTTTCTTTAAAGTCATTTATCTTTCTCCGAAGTTAACGAATAACCTCCAAAGTTGTGCAGATTATCCAGCCCGACAGTGCTAAGCATGTTCGTGATAAGAGCAGATGATGTTTTGAAGTCATGAAATTTTCGATGATCCACAGGTCGAAATTTGATGTTTATCGAATCGACTTTTCAAAAACTCATTTGTTCTCATCAGCAACATGCTTAGTACTGTTATGTTAGATGTTCAGTACAGCTTTGGAAAGTTTTCGTCAACTTCGGAGAAAGAAAAATGACTTTAAAGAAAAGCATTAGGGATCATACAAAAGCTGGAAAATGCGGTTCGTACAGCTTCTCGCTCCTCTTCAACATGTTCATAGTGAAGGGTAGTAGGAATACTTACGGATAGTAACACAGCGTGAAACTGAACTTTCGAAATATAAAGCCTTCTTTTGAGCTGCGATCCCCTCCCCAGCGGGGAGGTTAGTGCATGCGGCCCTTAATAACGACCTCCTCCCTCAGTTATACCCTCATTACGACCCCCCAGATCGGGCGCGCCTGACCCCACGCTCAGCCCTGGTTGTAAAATCAAAAAGGCTTAATTTCAATTAGTGTGACTCATTCTATTTATTTCATATTATCAATTTTTAATCACTTCGTAAGCCTCCTTCATTAGAATTCATGAATGCGCTGAATAAATGGTAATTATTCACCGTATTGTACAGATCTTCCAACCGTCCAATCGTCAGAAAACGTTGCATATTGACACCATTTTCAAGCAACAATCGCACAAACTCTACTCGATCATTGATCAGCGCCTCCATCATTGCGCTATGAAGTGCTGATTGTGGCCAGTCCTAAAAAAACATGGATATTTATTTGATTGCGGGGTCCCCAAGGATATCCCAATATTTACAAACCTGATTTGAGGTGAAGATATCGGATCTAGCAATGTCAACACGGTTCCAAGCAAGGGCCAACGCTAGCTGATCTGCAGGAGGTAGGTTTTGTCCCTAAAATCTAGTTCTTGCTCTAAGTATCAAACTAGTATTTTGAAGCACCGTTTACACAGTGAGGGTGGTACAATTTTTATGCGAACCCCTATAATAGCGTGGCCTTCATTAAGTTACCGCCCAAGTCCTGCTGCAGAAGGTGTATTTCGAAGCAAAAGAATGGCACCAGAAGGTGGGTTCTGCGGGTATTCATGCTAACGCGAATGCTCTAGAAATAATAAGCCCAGATATACCATTGTACCTAGCAGTGGTGTACCCAGGATTGCCGTTCGGGGAGGGGGGGGGGGGGACAAAAAAATTTCTCTGATGAAGATGCTTGGCTAACGCCACGAACCGAGATAAATTTTGTGGTATGCTCCTCAAAATTTTCGCGGGTCCATGACCTCAAAATTTCAGAAAAGGGGGCGTGGCTTCCGCCACGCCCTCAAAAAAAATTTTTTTTTATAAAATGAATTGAATTTTTATAAGCTGAATTGAATTTTTAAAAAAATTAAAAAATTATATTAATTATTTTCAAGTATAAACAAGTCACTAGCACATTTTTTTAGCCCATATAAGTAACTTTCAAAAATTTCGCGATCGAGAATTCAAAATTTTTGAAAGTTACTTATATGGGCCCATACAAGTAACTATAAAGTTACTTATATGGCCGTCCCCGCCACCCTCCCTCGGTACGCCACTGGTACCTAGTGATGTCGAGAATCCCCTTTCACGAAAAGCATGATTACAACATTTACACCTCTGATCAGTGCTCATCATTTTCAAACCACCGACGCTGGTGAGCGTGACGACCCCAGCAGCATACATTTTTTGGTTTTTTTTCTCGATTCGAAATATAACTTTCAAAGCGGTACTTGGGCAAGCACTTCGTCAGGATCGTCGCTGTTGTACTGCATCAGATTTTCAGAAAACTCATATATGGATAGGTGCGTCTTCAAAGAAATTACAGACCTTCAGAAGAGCACTGAGAATGGCGTGATCAACATCTTCATTTCCTTTCTCGCCCAATCGGAATACAGTCATCTGAGAAAGAAATATTCACATCAGGACAATAGAAAACGAACAAAAGAATAGCTATTAACAGAAACGAACCAAGTGCTTTTGTTGGGTACACATTATGAGCTCAGTGACAAGCTTATCAGCATTTGTACCTCCGCAATCAAAAACTCGTCGAACTAGCTCAGCTAGCTGTAGTCGTACACCATGTGGCAAGGATCTGAAATCACATTTATAGCCCCAAGCGGCCCAACTTTGCCGAACAGATTACAAATGCACTAACCCATCTTCTCTGACAGTTTGATGTGCGAAAGCAAGCAGATCGGCCGCTCGTCCACTTCCATCACAAACAACAACAGGCACTCGTGGCACACTAAACAAGTTATTTATGATGCTACGAGGTAAGGTAATGGTAAGAAATATACTTTATGACGTAATTCAGCACTGATCTGATCGTGCAGCTATCTCCTTCTAGTATTACACAGACCACAGGTACACTCCTGGAGCCACCAGAAATCTTTTGCTTTTTGGCGATGTAGGTCTCAAGACGCTTCCGGAGAATAACTTCAGCTCCGTACCTGAAATTCGCCAAGCTTAGCAGAAAAGAAAGATTTTCCAAAAAACCGTATTCTTATCTGGCAATAGGGAGGGTAGATGCAAGGAATACATTGCAATATATTTGAGAGCGGTTTACACACAAAATTGTTAGTTTTCTTGCAAATGATTCCCACGCCTCCTTTCTATGGTAAGATTTTACAGTTATGAATACTTTCCCGACAGTGGCAGTCCTCGGATTTCCGTTCGAGAGGGGAGGAGGCGACTTTTCGGATAAAGGTGCGTGGCCTAGTAACACACTTCGAAAATTTTCTGGAATGCTTTTTAAACTTGCTCCGAAAGGAAAGGCTTTTTTTACGAAGTTAGTATAAATTTGTTGAAAAATTTGCGAAATTATTATTATCTACAAGTGAGAACAAGTTGTCCCCCCCCCCATCCCCCCCCAGTCCGCCACAGGTGGCCGATAGTACTTTTTGATTAGAAGAAACTTCTGCCGAGTCTGACATCTCCCCATCCCCCCCCCCCCCAAAAAAGAAATTCCGCTTGATCTCGCTCTTTCTTATGGAAAGGAGTCATACTCACCTTCCAACGCTGCCATTATCTACGAGAAGAAAGTATGAATGTCGATTGTTCAAGGCAGTGAAACTAGTTTTACTAGAGAATGGATATGGAACACAAATATTCTAAAAGAATGAATATGAGATCATACGTGTGCAAAGGGGGAACATGGCCTCTCCAGGGTGAAGGGAGTCATAGGAGTCCCGCCTCTCCAGGGTGAAGGGGGTATGAGGGCCGACGGGGGGGGGGGCAGCGGCCGCCCTGTTAAGGTGCGTCGACCGGGGGAGGGGGGGGGGCAATGTTCGTCATCATTGCTTCTCATCTTCTTTTCATTCAAATGCATGAAGTAAAACTGTAGCCAAATCGCGTTAAAGTCGAATATTAGGTCTTACCCGCTGAAATTTCGGAGAAGAAAAACTGGAAGAAGTGAGACTAAGACGTCAACATTTTGAGCAAAATTATAAAACTACGGCATTATTAAAACTAAATTTTGACATGTGATTCTAAATATTATTATTATGATTGCCAGAAACTTACTTGCACGCTCACTGAGAAGTACGTCAGAAATTTGCCGCCTATTGTTCATTTTTGGAGAACGACGAAAAGCCTGGAGAATAATTTACGTGCGAAGCCTTCGTGTATATATGTCAAAGAAGTTACTCACGTATTTGCTGAAATAATAAGCGAAGTAATAAATGATCTTTGATGACTGGTGCGCAGTTGAATTGCATTTTTTTGAAGAGGTATAAATTTTCTAAGCAGATGGCCAATTTTTCTATAAAAAATTGTAACTTTTTCATATGAGAAGATAGGAGAGTTTCTAGCTATACAATGAATTACGCTTGTTGAAAGCTTTCAGTATATAGCATGCCACGAAAAAAAGGATTTTCCTATGTGGTGAAGCTGGTCGTAATTGTTCTTCCAAAGTCAAAGGCAGTGTCCGGGCAAAAACTCGATTTTGAGATTTTGTGCTTACCCGGGCCTTTTCGCTATGCTGAATCCGAAAATCCACATTGGAGAGCGCGAAAACGACGAAAAAGGGCTCTAATACTGGAGAGAAATTAGCAAGTGGGCGGGGTCTTCCCCACGGTGAATTCACGCTCCCAGCTTCGGGGGCGATCTTTTTGATTCCGGTTTCAAGTCATTCAATTGCACTTGATCGGTGGTGATGTCAGGGCGGCTAACGGATTCGAGAAAATTGCTCTGGAAGCTGGAAGCGTGAATTCGCAGTGGGGAAGACCCCGCCCACTTGCTGATTTCCCTCCAGTGTTAGAGCCTTTTTTCGTCGTTTTCATGCTCTCCAGTGTGAATTTTCGGATTCAGCCTAGCGGATAGGCCCGGGTAAGCACAAAATCTCAAAATCTCAAGTTTTTGCCCGGACACTGCCTTTAAGGGAATTTTTTTCATAAAAAATTGCAACTTTACTATATGAAAAGCTAGAAGAGCCTGAAAAGCTAGAAGAGCCTTTGGCACTTTACTGGAATGCTCTCGTCGTCTACAGAAAAAAAGGCGATTCTTCTATCGGGTGAAAGGGGTCGTAGTCGTTTTTCCAGGATTGAGCCAATTTTTTAAATTATAGCATTTCTATATGAGAAGCTGGGAGAGTGTTTAGGTGTTCATTAAAGATTCAATTCCTCTCGTCGTTCGCTTACAGAAAATATATAGGTTGTGAGGAGAGGGGTGCTAAAAGTACGTGGTGAAAGGAGGAGGAACATGGTATAATGGAAATGTTCCTCTATGTACTTCAAAAATGTCGTTTTAAGTAGCTAAAGGAACATGCCCATTATACCATGTTCCTCCCCCTTTCACCATGTTTTTCAGCATCCCTCCCCACACAACCTACATTTTCCTTTAAAAGCGGACGACGAGAGGAATTCAATGAACACCCAAGCACTCTCCCAGCATCTCATATAAAAATATTATAATCTTTTTAAATCAAAAATTGACTTAATTCCAGAAAAAAGACTACGACCCCTTTCACCCGATAGGAAAATCCCTTTTTTTCTAGCCATCTACACATTTTCAGAAAACGGACAACGAGAGGATTTTAGTAAAGTGCCAAAGGCTCTTCTAGTTTTTCACGCAATAAAGTTACAATTTTCTATAAAAAAATTCCCTCAATTCTAGAAGAACATTACGACCAGCTTCACCACACAGAAAAATCTTTTTTTTTGTGGCATGCCATATATTTTCTGAAAGTTTTTGAAAAGCGTAATTCAATGTATAGCTAGAAACTCTTCTATCTTCTCATATGAAAAAGTTACAATTTTTTATAGAAAAATTAGCCATCTGCTTAGAAAATTTATACCTCTTCAAAAAATGCAATTCAGCTGCGCACCAATCATCAAAGTTCACTTATATTTCACTTATTATTTCAGCAAATACGTGAGTAACTTCTTTGACATACAGAGTGTCCCAAAAAATGTTAACACTGTTTGATCGTTAATAACTCCCTTGCTTTCAAGTCTTTCGCCATGATTCAGGTACCATTTTGTAGAGCGAGGATAAACTTAGATTTACATTATCGAGCGAATCATCTAACTCTCCTCGTTACCGTAGAATTACGGTAGGAAATTTGACAAGGATTTTAAGCCATTAAAGCCCATTTTCTGCTTTGAAACAGAGCCAAACAAGCCAAGATCTTTTGTACTATGGTAATGAAAGCCGCTGATTTCAGATATAAAATTTTCATTTCATTATGATACTTCTTTTCAAAGTTATCCTAGGCAAAGTGTAATAACTGACTTCCCAGCATGTGCCAAAAATGTGATTACACCGTCAAAAAAGCTGAAAACACTCGCAGAAAGTTATGTAGTAAAATCAGCGTGCGCGAAAACCCTAGTACACGATTTTTCAGATTTTTTGAAAAAATTTTTGTCAGAGGGTATATTTCATGACGGTTCCATGTGCTGGAATTTCCTACCGTAATTCTACAGTAACGAGGAGCGTTAGATAATTCGCTCGACACTGTAAATCTAAGTTGAACCTCGCTCTACAGAATGGTACCTAAAGCTCGGCGAAAGACTTGAAAGCAAGGGAGTTATCAACGATCAAACAGTGTTAACATTTTTTTGGGACACCCTGTATATACACGAAGGCTTCACACGTAAATTTTTCTCCAGGCTTTTTCGTCGTTTTCCAGAAGTGAACAATAGGCGCAAATTTCCGACGTACTTCTCGGTGAGCCTGCAAATAAGTTTCTGACAATCATAATAATAATATTTAGAATCAAGATGTCACTAAATTTGATTTTAATAAAGCCGATAGCTTTGTAATTTTGCTCAAAATGTTGATGTCTTAGTCTCACTTCTTCCAGTTCCTCATCGGCGTGGGTAAAGGGGGCCCAGCTGGGTTCCGGCCTAAGGGTGAAGGGGGTACAAACACATTATCCCCTTTTCACATGTATGTATGACATCTTGAAGGCACCGTCTACTCAGAATGGAGGTTGGCGAGATTATGATGGCATACTAGTGTGGGCCCCCACACTAGGCAAACACCCAAGCTTCTCCGCAAAAGACTGCTTCAGGAGCGAGAAATCCGCTCCGAACTCGAAACAGGAATTTTTGGGGGTTTCGCGGTTTTTCGACTCCATATTCGGAATCAGGGCTTTCAGAAGGCCTGAAGGCAACAAAAACATTGAATTCGAGATTTAGGGTGGATGGTGCCTTTAAACATCACTTTCCCACACGGCAAAAATTTCCCAACAAACCTCAGGAAAAGCAGCACTTTTTGCAAAGTCACCTACCTCTCCAATCAGTTCATCTCTCTTCTCCAATAAACCCCACGGCGAGATACCTATACACACCACTTTGTTGCGGGAACTGGAGCTTGTTCCTGTAAAAGTTTATATTAAGCAAGCTTAGAACACGACATAAAATTTTAGAAACTTCTGCGCACAGCTACCCTAACCTGAACTAATGCCAACCCCAACAACGAAGAAACGTACCCAGCTACAGAAAACCAATGGGCTCACCTTCAAAAGCTGCAGCCACATGTCGTACAACACCGGTGTTCACTCCGCTGGTTATAACCCAAGCACCGGTTGTCATTGCTGCCTTCAGGAGACCTTTGCGGAATGCTTGCGCTAGTTTTGGTTGGAGGCTAAAAACAGCTACAATCTTAAGCAAAGCACGCTACAGTATGCTGTGACCTACTCAAAATGATTCTTTCCTCCGTGGACAGAAATGATCAGTTTTGGTGGAGCAATTTGCCAAACCTAAAGTATGAAGCTAACGCGAATAGAACAAAAACTATTTTTTAAAATACCTCCTCAAACATCGACATAATGAGGGCTGGGTCAGTATCAAATCCTAATCGAACATATTGTGCTTTATGTTGGTGGGGACCACCTGGAAAAACGTTAAGTTTGGCACATTTGGCATTTCACATAATAAATTAGTGCACATTAACGAAAAAATTTTCGCCATCTGATGTGACAGAAACCAAAACAGCCATACATTTTCAAGAAATTACTTGCGCATATTTTTTAACAGCATCACCTTGGAATTCAATCGTTCCAAAAGCATTGGTTGGTAGGCAAATTGTATGTTTTTTCAAGCTCCATCGCTCCCCAAGCTTGCTAGATCGGTGACCCTATGAAGAACAAGATAGACGTGCTTGTTTCTCTGAACTTATCATCACTGAAGCCTACTTAGCTTCAAAATGACAACTAATGTGTTGGCAGGGTTTGAATAATTGGCGATTGCCAAAAAGCTAGTGAATAATCTTTTGAAGAATATATCTCAGATAGTAAGAGACGTAAAAGGTATAATCTCATGATGTACTTCTGCATGAGCAGTATAATGTGACCGGGAGCAAAATCGACGGAAGAGGGGGATTTTTTTCCTAGCTGTTTTCTGTTAGCGCAAATTACTCATTCGTTGAGGAGGTGAATATGGTTGTTAGCCTCATTTCATAGAAATTGTTGATTACGTACTCGGTGCCGGGTCTCCTTTTCCGTCCAATGAATTCGTGATAACGTACTTGGCCCCCCCCCTCAGATTCCTCGTTGCTATAAACACTAATTCTCCAAAGCACATGTCCCAGAAGTTCCCTAACAACAATATCTTATGAATTCTAACACTTACTCGTCGCCTCGGTGTTTCAGACTGCTCATCGGGTTCATTTTGATCACTGTCATTGTCCTTCCTCCTGCTCAGAGCATCGTTTGAATGTTGATTGAGAAATGAGCTGGTCAGCGATGGAATATCGATGTGTGCAGATTGGAGGCGACCACATCCACATCTAAAAGACGTTAATCAGTATGCAATACCGCTCACATTTTTTGAAAAATAGACGCGAATGTATGGACATGTATGGACATGTACGGAAATGTCCGTACATGTATGGACATGTAGCGACATGTCCATACTTGTCCATACATGTCAATACATGTATGGACATCTGTCGCGTGGCCATATCTCGTTTCAGAGTGGACAAATTCTGAATCCAAAGCCACCATTCGATTCAGCTCGGCGCGGAGAATCTTCTGATATATTGGAATGAAGATACGATCTCTTCGATATTCCGTTTCCAGTTTTCTCAATTCGTTCTGCGGAGGTCCTTTCGCGAATATGTGAAGCAACGCCTTCCCAACATAGAAGTACAGGGCTTTACAACCTGAGTGTCACAGCCGCCCCGCTCGGCCGCCACGCATAGGTCCGCGCAGCGTTCGTGGCGCATCATCCGGGCATTTTGCCAGGTCTCAATCGATGCCGCCGGCGCATGCACCAGGCTGCGCGTCGACTGAAGCTTGGCAAAATGCCCGGACGATGCGCCGCAAACGCCGTGCGCGGCCTAAGCGAGGCGGCCGCGTTGGAGGAGCCTCGCAAGCGGAGCCTGTGACTCTTATGTTGAAAAGCCCTGTACTTTACTAAGTACTACTCGATAATATTGTTCTTGTAGATTCTTGTGCGCTAAAATAGGCTCAGACTTCTTTCCAAAGGAGATAGAAGCGTCTTGGTGAATTTTGGAAAAATCACGCGTTTTTAAATTCTACTCGCCATAACTTCCTTCGGAATAAGTATATTTTGAATCCGAAAACAGCGCTTGCTCAGCTTATCAAGGCGAATCTTCTTATGTACAGCATGTCCTTGATAACTCGATTTCAGTAGTCTTGAATCTTTCTGAGGACGTCTTTTTCGCAGATGTAAAGCAGTGAGCATTGTCCCGAGTGCATTCTAGCAAGAATCTTTCGATAGCACTTTTTCTGTAGATTATGGTGTGCTAAATATTAGGTCATTCCGAAAGTAATTTCGCTTTTGTCAAACGGACGCCAAATGTGATGGATTTAGGTTTCTAAGAGATCTTCCTATGCATTTGATGCAGCATTTCATTTTCTTTCTAAGGGTTATGAAACTGTTGCAAAACAACCAATGAGCTTTCAGAAAATAACCAAATCTGCGACCCATGCTTTTTGAGATGGTCAAGTTTCAAGATTTTTTAAAACTTTCATGTCAATCCTCAGAAGGAGTTCAAGTAACAGTTCGATAGAGTAAACCATATAGGATACAGTACTACTTTTTTCTCCTTTCCTTATCTTCTCATACATTTTTAACAGAATTTTAACTGATGCTACCGATTTCCATACTTGAGCAGCTAAATCCTCGTAGAACATCAAAAGAAAGGCAGCTCGCCCACTATTCGATGCAGCATTTTCTCCACTTTCTAATAGGTGTTTTTTTGTTTCCGATTTCTCTAGTTTCCGGGGAGAAATCATCATAATTCATTTTTTTAGCGAGCCCCAGGCTGTACCCGAAAAACTCGAAATTTGATATTTCGAACCCGTAAACCCTCACTTGCTTTGTAAAATTAATGCTAACTCATAGTACCATCTTGGTAGTCTCAAATTCCAAAAAATGATGATGTTTGATGCGATTGTAGCTGAGGTGGGCCTGCCAAAATCCGATAGTTCTGTTAAAGAATCTAAAAAAATATTACGGAGAGATGCAAGGAAGAGAAAAAAGTAGTACTGTATTCTATAAGGTTTACTCTATCGAATCATTTCTTGAACTTCTTCTGAGGATTGACATGAAAGTTTTAAAAAATCGTGAAATTTGATCATCTCAACAAGCATGGGTCGCAGATTTTGGTTATTTTCTGAAAGCTCATTGGTTGTTTTGCAACAATTTCATAACCGTTAGAAAGAGAATGGAATGCTGCTCGAATGCATAGGAAGATCTATTAGAAACCTTTGTTCCATCACATGTGGCGTCCGTTTGAAAAAAGCGAAATTACTTTTGGAATGACCCAATAGTAACCGCAGGTTTCTTTTCAAAGGAATTAGAACGGCTGATGAATTGTGGAAAAATCCTGTGTCCCAAATTCTACTCGCCATAGCCGCAGGATACGAAGCTACCTTGCTAAGCAGATGTGAGTTTCGAAATCAGCAGGTCGCACAACCTCTACGAGCAAGTTTTCCGATACGTTCGGGTTATTCCATTTTTTCTCGGAAGCTCGTCGATGGATTTTGGTCAAAATGTTGATGCTCTTGAATTGTAAGGAAACTTCGCTTATAGAGGTTTTCGAACACGCTCTTCAAGAAAATCGTGGTTTTTTGGGATTACAGGGTCTTTTTGGAGAGATACGGTAAGGTGACTGTAACTGCATCGCGAAAGTGCGTAACTTTGGCCGCACTTCTCGCGTATCTGTCAGAAACCTTGCCTGCTTGCTTTTCTCATTCAAAGTTACTAGGAATTGTGCTATCGAATGGTGCACGATTAAGGCTTCAGTCTGTGAAATTCGCCGAGTTACGAGCCTAAGAAAACACGCCCTCATGAATTTTGCCCAAAATGTAAAAACCGCATATTTCATCGAAATTTCTCCGTGAACTCTTGTATGACGCTCGTTGCAGATATTATGTTCGCTTCGTCGAACGACTCCCACTGTGCTGAATATGGTGCTTGCGTCTGCTTCAGCTGCAATCGAATATCAAAGCTATTTCATGGCTCGAACTCAAAGCACCAAATCTAACACAATAAGACCCATTAAAAATGTAGAAGGATTTGATCAGCGCGTTGTACAAGCGCTCACGGAGAAATTTCGATGAAATATGCGATTTTTACATTTTGGGCAAAATTCATGAGGACGTGTTCTCGTAGGCTCGGCGAATTTCGCAGACTGAAGCCTGAATCGTGCACCATTCGATAGCACATCCTAGTAACTTTGAATGAGAAAAGCAAGCAGGCAAGGTTTCTGACAGATACGCGAGAAGTGCGTCCAAAGTTACGCACTTTCGTGATGCAGTTACAGTCACCTTACCGTATCTCTCCAAAAAGAACCTGTAATCCTCAAGGACCACGATTTTCGTAAAGAGCGTGTTTGAAAACCTCTATAAGCGAAGTTTCCTTACAATTCAAAAACATCAACATTTTGACCAAAATCCATCGACGAGCTTCCGAGAAAAAATGGAATAACCCGAACGTATCGGAAAACTTGCTCGTAGAGGTTATGCGACTTGCTGATTTCGAAACACACATCTGCTTAGCAAGATAGCTTCGTATCCTGCGGCTATGGCGAGTAGAATTTGGGACGACAAGATTTTTCCACAATTCACCAGCCGTTCTAATTCCTTTGAAAAGAAACCTGCGGTTACTATTTAGCACACCATAATCTACAGAAAAAGTGTTATCGAAAGATCCTTGCTGGAATGTACTCGGGACAATGCTCGCTGCTTTACACCTTCGCGAAAAGACGTCCGCAGAAAGATTCAAGACTACTGAAATCGAAATATCAAGGACATGCTGTACATAAGAAGATTCGCCTTGATGAGCTGAGCAAGGGCTGTTTTCGATTTCAAAATATACTTATTCCGAAGGAAGTTATGGCGAGTAGAATTTAAAAACGCGTGATTTTTCCAAAATTCACCAACGCTTCTATCTCCTTTGGAAAGAAGTCTGAGCCTATTTTTTAGCGCACAATAACCTACAAGAACAATGTTATCGAATAGAATTCAGTAAAGTCTTCTATGTTGGGTAGGCGTTGCTCCACATATTCGCGAAAGGACCTCCGCAGAACAAATTGAAAAAACTGGAAACGGAATATCGAAGACATCGTACCCCCTCCAATACATCGTAAGATTCTCCGCGCCGAGCTGAATCGAATGGTGGCTTTGGATTCGGAATTCGTCCACTCTGAAACGAGATATGGCCACGCGACGGTGATGTCTATACATGGGACATGTATGGACAAGTATGGACTTGTAGCGACATGTCCATACTTGTCCATACATGTCAATACATGCATGGACAAGTATGGACATAGACATTTATGGACATGTGTGGACATACTTGTCCATACATGTCCCATGTATAGACATGTACGGACATGTCCGTACATGTCTATACATGTCCATACATTCGCGTCTATTTTTCAAAAAATGTAAGCGGTATTGTACGGTAAGGAGTGTGGTAGGCAGCATGTGATTAAAATCAAAAAGAGACTAGAAGTTATGATTCTGTAGAAACAATGCACAGAGCGTGCTCGATGTACTCGACACTCAACTACGAGAAAATTTGGATTGAGACTAAAGCCGTAAGCAAAGAAGATTCTAACAAGAGTACGGTGACTGTTAGCAATAAATTCAATCCCCATAGCGATTTTTCAGCTATACTCTTCATATCGCAGATTTGGAGCAACTTTTTGCAAATGGTCGATTGTAGACAGATTAAGATTTTGCGATAAGACCATCAAAGATCACTTTTCTATAAGAAAAGCGAACAAATTTTGTAGGATAAGAAGCATCAGCACTTGCAGATAGCATCTACACGTTCTGCTATCTTACAACAACAGAAAAAAAATGTTCAGAAGCACTTTCAGAGCGTGACGAAACAATGAAAGTTCTTGCAGAATGAATGGTGATTGAACTGTATAAATTATGATTATAACGTAGATAGCAGCAGTAGAAAAAATTTGCACTCGTAGGTAAAGCGCTGCAAAAAATTTCGTGAACTACCTCTCATTTATCCCCGTAGTCCGAAGTAATTGTTGTCTCAAAAGCTTTGCTTTTTTTCTTAAAAATCTAGTCAGGCTTCAAAAAAAAACTGGAGTGTAACTGCGCAAATTTCATCACATCCCCTCAGATAAAGCAGTTTTGGCATTGCTAATTCTGCAGTGCTTCATGAAGAAGAATCTTTTTGTAAAAAACATGAAAAATCTAATTGATACATACAATAAAGTTACGAAATCCCATCAAATAGTAGATTAATCTTTGAAATGCCAAGTAAGGAAAGAAGTGTTGCAGGGCTGAAAAAATGCAGCAAAATTGGTAGAACGTACTTTTCCGGATATTTGTTGGTGGGTACAAACTTTGCACACTCTCTCCGTTCAAAGGTAGCAGTGATCCAGTGAGTACGATTCAGCGACTAAAGATTGCAACTCAATATGCTTCATGATTCATAATTCTGTAATGCCAAAAGAGACATCAGTTCACTCGAAAAGTAGAGTATGAAACTTGAAACAGCATACATGATAGGGTTTCCTAGTCATGCAGGTATTTCGGAGTTCAAAGAAAAACGTACCAAATCCCATTCGGAAAATAGCATCTGAGTGAACAACGGCGGTAGAAAAGGTGCGGTCGCCGCGTGCGGCTCGCCGAGTTTCCGCAGATTCAACTTAAAACAAGAGCAGTAAACAAGAATGTTCAGGTTCCAGCGATGATACCTTGTGTGAAAGGCATATAATCTGACCGAGACCAGTGAGAACTACAGATTTTACTAATTCACGATAGCAAGATAAAGAGCAACCTCGCGTTCACTCTTACGCTAAAAACTACCACTTTTTCTTAACTTGTTAACTGCGAGTTATGAACAAAGCTTAAAACAGCACGACGACAAACGATTTTGTCTGGAGATAAGCACCGCGCAAGTCGGAATGACGAGGGTAATGAGTGTTGAATGGGGTATACCGGTAAGTGCAAGGGTCGCGAACACATAGATTGAAATTTTTCGAAAGTGGGTGCTGACTAGCTTAGTTTCGTGTGGCTCATATAGGGCTAGAATAAAAATGCTTAGATGTCAAAAAAATATAAGTATGTATATTCGTGTCTCGACAAATTTGCTTGGAATTATTTATTTAAGAAAGAGAAATCCATTTACTCTGCAAAGACCACCATGATACGTCTCTAATCAACACTGATCACGAAGATAAAAATGGAAGAAGAAGACCAGAGTTTCGGTAATTTTTGGCCAGGTCGCCAAAATTGGACCGTTGAAGAAATACGATCGTTAATATGCAGGTTTTATGGCCTACTCTTGCCGGCTGAAAACAAATTTGTGCTGACCGCACATTTTTATGAAAAGTTATAGCTTTCGCGTTCACGATAGCAAATAGCGAATTGGGTTATTTTGGTATCTCTCCAGAATTGTGACTCTTCATGGAAACGTTGAATCACCACAAACTTCTTAACTACAAAGAGTAGATAATAAAACTCTGACACTGGATTTCTTTTGATTTTGGATTTGCGGCGACCTAGCTAAAAATGACCAAAGCTCGTAGTTCAACTCTATGAAGAGTTACAGTCTTGAAAAGAATGCCGAGATGGTTTACAGTTTTTTCGTGAATTCGGAAGACATAACTTTTCAAAAGGTTTCATTAACACCAATTTTTAGTCGGCAAAGTTTACTGAGCCTGCATATTAGCAAATCCACTTTGCAGCTTTTCAGAGTTTTAGCCAGCTGTCTTCTTCCACTTTTATCCCTTTGTTTATTAGAAGGAGCTCAAGGCCAGGGCCCGGCATGATTCGGTTTCTACGATTTCTGAAAACGAAGTCTACCCTTACTTTCGGAAGTTTTACGAAGTCCCCCTCAGACGATCGCCGGGAGGCAGGCGGGCACCGGAAAAATAGATGGCTGATTTCTCGAATCCCGCTCGCGGATTTTTTGAGAGGCAATCAGGACTTTTCGGAACGTCGCTTGCTGAATTTTCGATTCCTCAGAGATTCACCAATATATCTGCAAAAGATAAGAGCGAAAAAAGATTTAACAGGCGGTTCCTCAGAATCTCGCTAACTATTTTCCTGGAATTTGCGAGCGGGATGCGAAATTTCAGCAACATATTTTCCGGTGCCCGCCTGCCCCCGGCGATTGTCTGAGCCTTTGACTAACTCCTTAGGAGAAGATGAAAACAAGAAAGATTTACTAGTCTGAAGGAAAAGACGTAACATAAGAGTGAAAATCCAAATTGAAACGGCAGTGCAGAACTGCAGCGCCACAGCGAGCGTCTAGCACCGACTGAGGAATCAACCCTTGATAGAACAAAGACCATTACGATAACTAACGAGGACGAGGCTGCTCCAGATTATTCATGTCTCATCCATCCCAATTCTTATTCTTATACCCATTATGTCACCGTCATTCAATTGTTTGATTCCTGTGGTTGAATTGGGTATATGAAATCTATGAGCATTTAATTCTGGCTGATCAGACATGCCACGTTTTGTTCATTGCTATCGCATTTTCATACTTTATTCCTCTACTGCACTATATTATGTATTTATATCTATGTATACATGTCCAGGTTATTTATCAAAGTATTTAGTGATCTTATTGGCGGTTATTTCAAGTCATCTCATCATACTGTTACATTTTTTATCAACTTCATTGTATTCATTACTTCATACACACGTCTTGTTGATATCACATTTGAATGTAAATACGTTGTTGATATTGACTTTGAAATGTCTGTGAATTTTGTACTACCTAAGCTGATAGTATTGAATGCCAGCTGTCAAAGACAGCATTATTCTGTAAATTCAGCATTTTTGTTGCAATTTGTGTCAAAAACCTGTCAAATTTGAAAATTGTAAATATCATTCGTTAATAAAATAGATGTCAAACCACATTGTCTAAAACAAGCATAAGATATTCAGATCGACAACAAAAATCCGAGCAGATTCCTGCCAAAATTTTTCTCGTAACGCGCAGGCGGCGGACCTTCAATCCATAGGCGGCGCGCACTGCACACACAGGCGGCGGGAAGGCACATCGCTCGCTGATTCAGTGTGCGCCGCCTGCGCGCAGATTTGTCTGAGTGAATACTACGCATGCAGAAGACTTCGGCATTAGAGCTCGATATTTAACAAAGCGAGAAGAAATGAAGGCAAAAAACAAAGGAAAGGCAATGATATGAAAATGTCTTCATGCTCAGGGATTGATTTTTGACCGGGCAATCCGTCCATGCTGAAAAGATCCGAAACTTATGTGAAGTGACAAACCAGACGATCTCAGATCGTCTGTAGCCCTCTGGAGACGATCTAATTTTGGAAAAGGTATTACTTTTCTATACATACGGTTGAATTTTGATGTCATATGCTTCTGTGTGCGCTGTAAACAAGCAATTTGTTTATTTTGGCCTTGCATTCAAATCGCGCGCACTTTTCGCCATACACGATAGAGCAGTCAATCGTGCGATAATCTGTCAGAAAAGCTTGTGTTAGACTGAATGGCGCTTATTCTTGGTGCTCGGTTCCGACTCGTTAAAAACGATATCCCCTTCGCTGTTTGCTTCAAAAACGAAGTCTAGCCTGCTTCCAGACGATCTGTGCCGGGCCCTGCTCAAGGCTATTGCACATTATACAGCCTTCTTCAACAAAAATATCTCCAAGCGAGTTCGTCAAGATCAAGATTTAGATCAAATTACGAATTTTAAATACGCAAATGCTTTCGTTCGAACTCAAGATTTCCAAATTTCTGCAAACGAAAGACATTCAAAACGCATCTCGCAAACAAAATCATAAAAAACCACTTGGCTACCACACAGGTGCTATTGTTGAAAGCAGTTGTCTTATCAAATGCCATGAATATACATATTCACTTTCATAGTAAGCAACAACATATGTGATTCAGCTTTCGGGTCAGACAACGAAGACAATTTTATAAAGCAAACGAGTGGAGTTACAGTAATCCACCAAGTTAATATGTGCAAAAACTGTCGTTATGCTTACGTTATGTTTGTACAGCATAGCAGACGTACGGGAAAATCTTCAGCATGTTGGAAATACAATGGATAATTATCTTGTTCTGTCTCTCACAAAGACGCAAGCGGCACAATAGGTGACCCCGACAGATTTTTTTTCGTCGAAAATTTTGCTTATTTCTCACTTATTCTGGTTCATTGCAAACAAAATCTTTCACTCACAAAAAAAATTCCACACAGATCTTTAAACAATTTATGATCACTTTTGTTAATCAACAAAACTAATGATTCTAAAGCGCAAAATAATGGTGTCCAATCTGACTCAATAAGATCGCGCGCGCAGACAGACGGTACTCGTTGACAATACAAAATATCCGAAAGATTATCTACCGCAATCAACAAAGAGTACTGACCATACCGGGGCAAACAGTGAAATTCGCTGTAAAATTGGATAAACAGGCTAGGGTGAGAAGTTTTGAAAAATAAGTCGTAACGGTTATGCAGGGCTGGCACGAGGCTAGTTGAGAATGCAAAAAACGAAATCCCCCTTGCTTTTGCGAATTTTTACTAAGTCCCTTTGACCCTAGACCGTGGTCCTTGAAAACATTTCCAGCAACGAAACATCGACTAAAAAAACGTCGCAAATTTCGTGTCCTTCGTGTCTTTTCGGCCACAGAACGAAACCGAAACCCCCTTTGCTTTTTGCCCCAAAAATGATATCCAGTTTGTTTGAAATTCACCTGTGCCGAGCCCTGCAATATGTTGACGGCAAAGAAAGTTTTTGTGATCCCCCCTCCAATCCCCAATATGGAAAAACTGAGAAAGTGACGATTACATGGTTTATCCTTACCCGTGAAAATCATATAGGTAAAAAAGTCTCGTAAAGAAATTTAGCTTATTAATGGTCAAAACGCTAACCCCGTCATGAAACAATAAACAGTTCGACTTTGCGCAAAGATTTAATTTACCCGCTTAAAAATCTATAGATGCATAGGTATAGGTCCCAAGAAGATTAAGTTCCTTACCGGTACTCCGTTTTCTCGTGCCCTATCCCGAAATTCTGTGATCGACAACATATCCCTCCAATCGGTGGAATGTACATTCGGTGGTGGTATTGCGTATCCATATAGTAATCTTCCACCTTTTCTTGGCCGAACACCTCCAGTAAAACTTCCTAAATTATCCATTTCTCATGATGGTTTCATTTGCTGATTGAGTGTGAAAAAAGGCCGTAGCCAGAATTATATAATCATGGAAAGTTTGTGGTGGAAATATATCTACGCAAAGATCTTTCAACGAAAAGATTAGGAGAAAAATCAAAAGACTATATGCATTTATATAACCAGTAAGCATTAAATAGAGGTCCGCAGTAAAGCTGCTTCATTCGATCTCAACTGAATAAAATTTCAGTTGAGGCTTCGACGAGTCAGCTTCTTTTCAGTCGAGCCATTGATTGATATTGCCAACAACCCACAATGACAAAATTGAGAGCGCCACGTCCATGCAAGTATACGAGCCAAGACGAGTTTGCCAAACATTCACATCTACGTCATTGGCACTAGCGGCGGGGATGTGGCCGCACTAGTTAGATCTTGTTAAGTATCGTCAGCATCACTGTGGCTCTTCACCGACATGTTAAACTGACGTGTATCGTAAGTTACTCAGGAGTAACTTACGAGAAGTTTCTCTGCGTATCATCATTGACACACTATTTAAACCAATTGGTCCAATCCAATAGTCTAGCTAATGTGGACTGACTGAAGTAAGGTAGACTACCCCGTCAGGAAAACGGACGGTCAACTGAAATTTCATTTTGCATTCTTACTATATGGGAAGCCGGTGATAGGCAGTCTACCTTACCGAATCTTGGATGAGGGCCTCAGTTCAGTTCACCTGAACTGAATTAGCTTTACTACGGGCCAAAGCGAAAAGATACCAAAAAAAGAAGACATAGATCTAGACTTACTATTTTGTCCATTCGCATCGAGATTGTTATTTGAAGACGATTCTGCTGCCTCAGATAGAAAATAGTGGGATTTTACTTCCGCATGGGATGGTTGACTCTGCAAACAAGCTATCAGACTATTAAAACAACGAAATTTATGAAAGTTTCGATGGTATGTGCAGACTAGTATGAATTTGCACATTAGCTCTTTTAGGAAGCAGGAAGTACTTGAAAGATAATAATCTACTGAATGCCAAACGTAAAAACAAACAGTTTGAGTTTGATACGGACACTTATCGTAATTTTATGATCATGACTTATAATAAGCCGCTAAGCGTCTGTCTTTTTCGTGTGTGTCTGTATGTCTGTCTGTCACGAAATTCATAAAGCGAGTTTCAGCAAATGTCTTGAGCTGAATTCTTGCACAGTGTACGCTGGCAGCATCCAAGCTCACCCTGCGCAATGGCGAATAGATCCGATGCGTGGGTTCTTTGAAAATGGCGTTTGGAGCGGGTCCACTCAGCTTTTGGCATGCAAAGTGGGCCGCTGATTCGACTTTTTGCAACGTCATGTATTTGTTTGACAAGTAAATTTGGAAGCCATGAATTTTAGATCAAAAAACGCTGAAAAGGTCTGTTTTTCTCCTAAAGAGGAGGAGGATAAAGGATAAGGAAAAAAAGGATTGAATGCGTAAATAATCGATTAGTCAAAGCTTCCCTGATGAATTGAAAAGATTTTTGCACAGAGAGTAGCCCATGGTGTTTACCACTTTTATGGGAACACTGATGTTCAAATGAATGCAGTAACTCATTCGAATTCGTATTCGTTCTTCTGCAGAAAGGTTTTTTCTCCAAAATCACCGATCTTACATGGAAATACTGTGGGAATGAGCAGTTGCTACGAATCGATCCGTGATGTTCAGCATCATCCGGTGGGTTTCAAAGCCCTTTTATTTTTTGAGTGGAAAAGTACACGAGTGGTTTTCTGCATAGATACTGCACGATTCGTATTCGATTTTCTACGAACGCCTACGCTACATTCGCAATTGAAATGTGATGAAATTTTGATTGATGAATGGAGCCGTGACGGCTTGAACTCCTGCAAAGCAGCCTTGGATCAAAGTGCGACTTGGTCTCAAAGGAAAGGGAAACACCCAAAAGTGTCATTAGCTATATTATGAAAGCGATGCGTATACAGCAAATTTCAAATAGTTAAATGGAATGTGTCGTCCTGCCTTTGACTACAATACCCGGCTGCTTGAAGACGGCAAGACTTCGAAATTGCTTGGATGTTTCTACCATTTTCCATTATTGTTCAGTCTAAAAGACGATACATGTCATTCCAAAGAGCTAAATTATACTAATTCAGTCCTAAACACTGGAAGCGGTATGTTTATGAATTTTCAGAAGCAAACTAACTCTAAAGCTAAAGTTTGATGAGATGCTCGGGAATTTAATGCTTCGCATATGAAAGTCGCTATCAGTGGATAGTCTCGGTACATAAGATTTTGGATGGAGATATTTGATGCAATTATGATATTCAAAACCTTTATTTAAAGACAAGTTCTCTTAAAGAGCTGGTTTCGAGCGAAATTCCATTTTCAAGCTTCAGAAACTCACTTTTAATCTTTTTCTGGCAAAAAGTCATTCTTCTTTTTGATTATTAAATCATGTGTTTGTTTTGCAATCTAATTTTAGAGATTCAAAACTATTAAAGCCACGGAAGTTCGTTCGATATGTTACGCAAAATGAAGATTTAGAATCTATTTATATATAAAACCCAATGTCTGTGAGGATGTTCGTTTAGTTGTTCGTTCGCTGTGAAAACGTCAGCCATTGAACCGATTGAGCTAAAACTTCGCATACATATGTTATCGACCCCGGCGGTGGTTTATAGCTACTTTTTGCGGCGATTCGCAAGGTCTTTCTATCGATTTATTGATTTGTTTACCTAAATCTCGGAAAACGAAAGTTTGACGTGTTCTAACCAATCATTTTCCAATAAACATGTAAGCAGGGGTAGTGAAGTTCACTCTAATCTCAAGGTCGACAGGATGCAGCAGGGTTCGTCTCAAAGCTCTTTTCGCGCATTATAGAACTAGAAAGTGTAAGTATAGAAGTTAGAAAGTGTAAGTATGATTGGCTTCCAGATTCGTGTGGAGGAGGGCTACGGACTTCACTGATTTTAAGGATAAGCTCAACGAGAGAGTACGAAATACAGTGCTATAGCGTAGAGGTTTAACAAGTCTATGCCGAAAATCACAGAATTGCGCAACCCGCTCTACACGAATCTGTTGGTGAGTAAGGGAAAACTCCGCCAGTTTGAACCCGCCTTTGCTGACAACTGCTCTTTTTAAAATATTGTTGCGTGTGGCCGCAGGATCAGTAGTCCGCGGAGACATTTCAAGCTGGTGGAGTTTGTTCCCCTACCCCACATTGAATAAACTAGGAGTCTCGGGTAAGACCGGGACCATCAGCTAGTAGGCTATAAGCTGAAATGGAGTCGACTGATCATCAAGTGGAAATGCGTAGACGTGGACGCCCCGCGTCCATGCGTCAGAGCTGAACGTCAACGAAGCCATCGCTCACTTGAAGACGAATCCCAGCGAGCACTGCGCTTGCAGGCGGACGCCCTGCACCATCAGCAACAGTGACAAGGCGAAGTATTCAGCATCGTTTCGTCAGACACGCGCAGGATGCGCAACGCCATCGCGAAGACTGCGAAGGTGAAACTTCTCAGCAAAGACATTCCCGTTTGTTAGGCATGTCGCAATGTGCTCGAAGGCGGTGAGTCCGAGAGCTTAACGGAAACTGCTGGCCGCCGCTCGGCGGACGCTGCACGTCAAGAGAGACGTCGCGAGGGCGAGAACACTAAAGAGGGAGCACGGCGTCTTCGTGAAAATGCTGAGCGTCAGCAGAGAAGGTTGGCAGTGAAAATGTTGAGGAAGGTGCACGGCGCCGTCTTGAAAATGCGTAACGCCAGTAGCGGCGTCGCCAGAACGAGAGCAGCATAGCTCAAGCCGAGCGTCGTGGTGAACATGCTGTTCGCCAGCGCAGACGAAGAGAAGCCGAAAGTGCTGACAGCCGTGCCCAGCGCCTTCATGGACAAGCTCAGCGTCAGCAGGAAGTATTACAGAATGAAACTGCGGAATCGGGTGCCGAGCGTCGGTTGCAAGATGCAATGCGCCATCAACATCGGCGAGCTCAAGAGGATGGAAGACAGCATGCAGTCCGTTTGCGCGTAGACGCTGAACGTCACCGAAGATCGCGTCAGCAACAAAGTCGAGGACGAGTGAATCGCATAGAGACGGATGCGCAACTTCCTCAAGCACAAGGAGATCCGGTACGCGGCAAACTTTGAGGGACTCGTTAGCCGTGTAGCGCGCCAGCGCAATCATTGGCCGTAGTTGGCAAGACAGCTGAAGTTGGCCCAGTTTTCACATGTTTTTGTTCTCTAACATCGTTTTTGATGTTTCTTGGTCGATAAAGTTTCATGTCATTTTTAAGCCAAATTGGTGCGTGATAACTTTTGATTTGCGTCCGTTGAGTCAAAGTGTGATTGTTTGTATTGAGTTGCTGCATAAGTTCTGTCCGATTTGAATTTTTTGAGTTCAAAGTGTCATAACTTCTTTCAAAGTCAACTTTTTCCAAGATCTTTAATTCTTCGTGTTGAGCAACAACTCCCTGGCTATCAGATACATATTGAGACCTGCGAAGATACTTGTTAAGAAAGAAGCAGAAACTCAAAAACTTCACAACGTTTTTCTTCAAACCTGCTTTTTTGACGTGGCGATGCTTCCTTATAAGAATTGATAGGCATCTTGTCTAATAATGGACAGATAGAAAAACTCTTGTAGATTATTTTGCAACATATAAGAGCCCATAGGGTTTACATTGCCAAGAGATTTTTTGACCGAGTCAAAAAGAAGCCACTTTTTGGCTTCGTTTCAGCGCATGTGTGCAGGCCTATTTACGAATTATGAAAAATTTACAACTGAAGTGAGCGCCGAAAAGAAATTGGTGGATGGGCCGTACTAGCTCTTGCTTTACTCTAGCACGTCCGACTTTGAGCTCATCGAATTACTTCTATTCTCAGAAAGTTATTGCTTGTAAAACATCTATACAGAAAGTTTATGTCTGACAATAAATTTTACTAGCAAGATGTTTTCGTCATGAAACTGAGCTCATGCGTATGCTAGCCTGTCACACCCTTATTCCGCAGCCAATTAAAAAAACTTGATCTGAAGGGCGCATTGTGGAGATTTCCTCGCGAGAACATATTTAGGGTGAGAACTACCTCGGCCACGTGGAGATTTCGGGCCTGAAATCTCCTTACGCTGAGAAATTTATTGAAATTTGAAATGCTTTAGAAAGCGCAAGGAAAGCACTTTCTAATGATACTAACAATACCGCATTAGAAATGAAATTCTTTTGGAACAGCTGCTTCAAACATAAGGTAAAATAATCGGACAGAACTTATGCAGCAACCTAATATTCTCGAGATAATGTCATTTTTTAATTTTCGCTCCCAATTTTCTTTGATTTCTTTAATTAATGCTGCCTACTAATTACATTCTCATCCTTTGCTGTTCTGATGTTGACGACAGGGCTCGGCACGAGGTGGCTAGTTGAAAATGCAAAAAACGAAGTCCCCCTTGACTTTTGCGAATTTTTACGAAGTCCCCTTTGACCCTAGACCATGGGTCGGCACGAGCTGGCAACCCGAAATTGTAAAAAATGAAGTTTCATTGTCTTCAATGAAATTACGACATCCACCGCAGGATATTCGAAGAGTAAATACATGAAAAGGAACGGAACAAAGCCACAACAGAAAGAAAAAACGAAAAAGAATCATCGAAAACACGCGATGATATTCATATTCTCTGAATTGGCGGCGTGATGTATCCATCGTGCAGCATTACGCGCCTAGAGCAGCCTTTCCGCCGCCATTCAAAATTTTAAAGGGGCTATAACTAAGCGGGGAGAGGGGGGTTTGAGGCGGTTTAGGAACCAGTTTGTAGGGTTTGGGAGGTAGATGAA